CACGGTTCAGCGTACACACAGTGGCTACCAACAGTTTAGCTGGAAGTATATTTAAACGTTTTCAAAGAAAATAAGAGAAAACTGATTTTATGTCGCAAGAGACAAGTCGAGACGAACACAAGAGATACAACCAAATTGGATGAAAGTCTGTCATTTATTTCACAAAATACAAAACATTGAAAAACACAATATTGCAACTTGTAATCACACAGTGGTATTATAGTAATGGCAGCCACCAATAAATTATTAATATTAGTTAAACATAGAAAGGTTGCCCCTAAAAATTACTGTAAAGTATGTATTTGTTACAGTACATACGTCTGTTAAATATAACAATTACAATCACATCACCTCTTTCTTAGGACCTTATTGATACATAGGTATACATTCAATGATACAGTAATTAAAATATGCATCTTAAATGAAGAGTTGTAAAATGGTTATTTACATAGAACATTGATATAATAATGCCATATAACCAGATAAAATTACAAATTATCTGGGGGCACACATCCAAAAATAACACAAATAATTATATAATACATGGTGAAAGCAGGGGAGGAAGGTGGGAATTGAAATTATGTCCACTCCGTTCAAAAGCGCTGCAGAGAAAGAACATGCATGTCTGATGCACGTTCTCAAATTACCCACAAGGCATAGGAAAAGCGCCCCAGGAAAATATGCCATTGAAACATATCGCCCTCATGCGACATAAATTAGGTTTCATGTTGCAAGAGACCAGTCGAAAAGAAACACATGGGATACAATCACATTGGATGGAAATTTGTGATTTTTTCACTAATGACGGAACATTGAAAAACACAATGTAACTTGTAATCACATACTGGTAGGCCTATAGTAATGGCATCCACTAATAAATCGCTAATATTAGTTATATAATCTATACAATGTGAACATAGAAAAGGCTGCCCCTAGAAATTACTGCAAGGTACTGGTATGTATTTGTCACAGTACATACATCTGTTAATTATATGACCATTACAATCATATTACCCCTTAGCAACTTTTTGATACATGGTTATACATTCAATGCTAATAAAAATGTACTGTATGTCGTAAATGAAGAGTTGTAAAATAGTTATAGCTATTTACATAAAACAATTATATGCCGGAGATACTCATTTACTCCTTAGCACCTTGTTGCTACATGGGTATACATTCAATGCTAATAAAACTGTACGTTGTAAAATGAAGAGTTGTAAAATGGTTATAGCTATTACATAAAACAATTATATAATGCCAGTGAAACTCATACTGTTTAACTTACTGCGATACTAGTTGAACTGTAGAATAATAAGAATAATTAAATACATAATTGTTGCAGTAATTGTAGGGGTATATATTATCAAAGAGCATGTAGGTCAGCTTTTTAGTTGTTTCATTCTGTCTGATAGGCTTTTTGGTCGTTTCAGTCAAGGCCAGTTGTTAAGCTGCTTGAGCTGTGTGGAACGTTAACTATGTTCTTCTAAGTGCCAACCCAGTAGGCTGGCACCCACTTGGCACCCTTGTGGTTTTATGGGTATCTGGTAAAAGTCATTCCTTAGACATTGTTTTAGCACACCAAAGTGGTTTAATACAGTATGCTTTCAGATATTGTACTTTGATTATAATGTAGTTTTATAGTTAGAATGATATTTACACGGGGAGCTTACTTGATTAGGTATAAGCAGCTGATCCTCGGTCTGTTTAGTCATTTAAGCATGAAGGAAAAGATTTAAGTAATAAAAATGACAATTACACACGATTTGGTGTTGTGTTCCCTTGTTCATGTGTCCAGTTGGGTGTACTGTATGTGCTGATGCTGGAGCCCTAGCATCATTGGAGGTCAGAAAGGGCAAAAGAGGAGACTTGATGAACAAGTTAGTAGGTGTGCTCCTTAAATTTAGGCAAGAGCAAGTCGCTTTTATGGCCGACATTGAAGGAATGTTTCATCCATCAGGTGCATGTGACCCCTAAAAGATAGAGATGTTCTACGCTTTGTGTGGTGGGCAGGGAGATCGCACATTCAAATGTACAGTATGACTACACAGTTTGTTTGAAGGAGTGTGGAGTCCCAGCTATGCAAACTTTGCTTTGCAGCGCACTGTGAACAACAACGCAAAGGAGTTTGAAGTCCAAATTACAGTTGCTGTAATAGCAACAAAATAACAACAAACTACAGATCGATCAGTGAGTTCACTGAAAAAGTTGAACATTGGAGCATGTACGTACACAGTCTTGACAAATACTTCGCAGCCAATGAAATCACCGACCCAGGTTTATTTAAATTTAAGTTTCTGTAACTTTCTGGCAATCACTCACTGTTAGCACCTTTATGCGAAGTTACAACGTGATACAAGGATTTCTTGCCTATTTACCACGATTTACGCCTTAATTTTGACTGTTAAGTATTTTTTTACGTGATATAAATATTTGTATTTTTATCCAGATCATTATGATCAAATTCATCCTTACTTACCCCTAATAAATATTGTTATTTAAGCTATGTTTTGTACTAGGCCTCGTGTGATGAAATCACTGCTTTCACGGAGGGCTAGGCTTTGTTCTGTGAATGAGTGACGGGGCATGTTGGGACGAAGTGTCCCAACATGCCCCACATACACTTTATGTCTTATCTGAATTGTATTATTCCATAAATAGTGTTGTGAAGTATAAATATTATCAATTTACATGAATGATTTTATTAATAAGTGACAGTTAAAGGCTTCTCTAGGCCATAGGCTAGTCCAACCTCCACTCAGCCTAGACCTGTAATTATTAATTTAAAATATTTATTATTAAAATTATAAGTGAATACAGTTATTTTATACATACTTTGTTGACAGAAATATGTTCATTTTAGTTAGGATTAGTGTTTAGGCATAATGAAAACATTAATATTTATTTATTTAATTGTTTATTTATTAATTTAAACTGCATTTTGCAGATGAGAACTTATATTCGGAAAACTAATCATGGGGAAGATGCAGACCTCATCAAACGTGCTGTTTACATTGTATTGACTGAACAAAGGAGTGTTCGTGATGTTGCAGCTGATCTTGGTGTTTCTAAATCTACCTTAGCCAGACATGTAAAAAAATTAAAATCTGGTAAGTTATTTTGTACAACAAATGAATCATGCAAATCCACCACTCTAACTCTATTTGTTCATGGATGACTGTTGAGATGGCGGTGCTGTTAATGTGGAGAAATCATGTTTGTTATTAATTAAAAAAAATAATAAGATAACATGTGCATACTAAATTGAGCAGTTCTAAAAATTTGTATTTGATTTGTTATTTTTGTTATTTAACTTAATGTCAGAATTGTTTATGTTATTAAATTCTCGATAATTATATTTTCAGATAAGCAAATGGACAGAATTGAAGATGTCTCTGCCATGGTTGAAAAGCATCATGTTGGTTACACAAAGATGCGTCAAGTATTCACTGACCAGCAAGAAAGGGAGCTGGTCAGCTACATTAAGCGTGCTGCATCTGTATTCTTTGGTTTGACACCTGATGAAATTAGGAAGTTGGCATATGAATGCACCATTACATACAACATTACAAGGCCTAGTTCATGGATTGAAAGGGAAAAGGCTGGGAAAGATTGGTTCACTGGGTTTATGAAGAGGAATGAAGACATAAGTATTCGGCAGCCGGAAGCAACCAGTCTTGGAAGGGCAATTGCATTCAACCGGCATAATGTCACAATGTTTTTTGACAAGTTGTCAAGTGTGCTTGATAGATACAAGTTTGCAGCAGTTGACATATGGAACTTAGATGAAACTGCAGTGACAACTGTGCAAAAGCCTAGCAAGATAGTGTAAAGAAAGATGAGCGCCAAGTTGGAGCTATTACAACGGCAGAAAGAGGAACACTGGTAACTTTATGTGAAGCAGTCAACGCGATTGGAAATGCCATCCCACCGCAATTTGTATTTCCTCGCGTACACTTCAAGGATCATTTCATTCGAGATGGACCACCGGGTTGTATTGGTACTGCCAACCGATCAGGTTGGATGACGGAAGTTGATTTCCTGGTGTTCATTAATCAGTTTATAAAGCATGTCCGTCCATCAAAGACGCATTCAGTTCTACTTCTGCTGGATAACCATGCTTCGCATGTCGCTGTTAGTGTAATAAACCTAGCCAAAGAAAATGGCATAATCATGCTATCTTTCCCCCCACACACATCTCAAAAACTTCAACCATTAGACCGGGGTGTGTATGGACCATTTAAGACGGATTTACACAGCACACAAGATGCATGGTGCAAGAACCATCCTGGGCAGGCTATGACGATTTATGACTTTACCAAAGGCAAATGCTGCGGACAACATAGTCAGCGGATTCAAAGTATCTGGTATTTGTCCTTTCGACAGGAATATTTTCAAGGACAATGAGTTTGCTCCTTCTGAGACGACCGATCGTGCCAACGCAAATGAAACACATGTCGATCAAGTAGCAAGAGGAAGATGATCAAGAATGGTTATGTTTGGTATGCGAGGAAAGTTACGAAGACAGTCGTAGCAATAAAATATTGATGGCTTCTATCGCAATCTAAAAGATTCTCTAGGTCCTAGCTAATTTTACCTTCGATAAAAAACGAATTATTTTAATCGCTAGCTAGCATTCTTCCATTTAACAAAATATTGTTTTAATTTCATTAAAACGTCTGTATACTTTATGGACCTTTCTGTCCTGTTGTTTACATACACTTCGCGAAAATCTAGCTTCGCGGTGTCAAATAAGTTGCTGACTTCCACACACTTTTTTATTTCGTCATCGTAAACATGTGCGCTTATTATAACGACTGGCGTTGGTCGTAGTTCGTTGAAACTTAATTAGTAGCGACTATTATAGCAGAAATGGGAAAGATTGAATCGTCAATAAATAAATACAACAAATCTGATTTTATTATTAAGAAAAATATACATTATTACGTACGCAATTGGACTTTTTAAGCAAGTTAATTTACCGTTATTCTAGTAAAGTTAAGTCACTTTTAAGTGACTTAATTCCTTTATCTAGCTATAATTGAGTGGTTCACGTCGAACTTTTAACTAGTTAAGTGGATCTATATCTAGATAAAAGTTCGACGTGAACCAGGCTAGTGAAGCTCATTAGTTGTGAATAGTTCATAAGAAGACTAGCACAATTAAATCAAAAACCATGTTGTAACTTCTAACATAAGGCTATGTTCACACACACGGCGTAAGGCTGGCTTAAGCATGGCGTAACGTACGCCTTTATGTGTGAACTAGGCAGTGGCGCTGTTAAAGCCACTCTCTACGCCACGTCCTTGGCGTTATTAACGATACCTGCAGACCCCAGATTAGCTAACGCCACTGGTCTATATTACTACTAGTTTAACGCCAGCGTTAATATAGCGAACGCCGTTTGTGTGAACACTTTGGAATTTTAATCCGTGAATTAGCTTACGCCTGGCCTGCTGTGATAATGACTTTTAAGTAGAGGTATATAATTGTTTAATTGGATTATTGAGATAAGATTCTGGCAAAACCTGGTTCACCAACCCGCCTGAATGCCCTTTTAAAGGGTTTGCTGGTAAATGGGATAGTAACAGCATGCAACAGTATCCTCAGCGAAGATCATTCGCCAATAATAACAATAAGTTCAAATCTTTCCAGGGGAAGTCTTTTTTAGGGAGACGCCAGAGCCAGATCAACCGTTACTCTCACGGGAAGGAGAAGCTGGAGACATCGGGGGAAAAAAGCATAAACCTGGAACAGGTAAGCTTTATGTCAACACTGATACAAATTGGTGGACGCATAAAGGGTCATATAGCTGAATGGGGAAAATTGACTTCTGACCCTGCTATATTGCAGATTGTCAAGGGGTACAAGTTAGAATTTGTTGAGGACATACCACCCATACAAGCCAGAATTCCACACCCTTACAAATTATCAAAACATGAAAAGGTTGCTGTAAATGCGACAATTGAAAAGTTACAAAATATAGGGGTCATACAGTTGACCTTTCATGAGGATGGAGAGTTCATTTCTAATATATTTACCAGGTTGAAAAAAGACAAAAGCCTGAGGATGATTCTTGACTTATCAGAGTTAAATGGCAATATACAATAGCATCATTTTAAAATGGATTCCATTGAAAAGGCAGTGGCCCTGGTCACAAAAAATTGCTACTTTACGTCCATCGACTTAAAAAACGCATATTATTCTGTGCCAATCCATGAACACCGTAGATATTTGAAATTCTTTTGGAACGATAAGCTTTGGCAGTCCACAAATATTCACTAAATTGATGAAAGTACCATTATCTGTACTAAAGAGAATACGGTTTGGTTATTATTGCATACAGTATATTGAACCTACTAATTTCCAGTGCTCATAGCACAGCCTTAGGGGATATTGAGAAAGCCATAAAAGTGTTTAGTAAACTAGGGCTTATTATTAATTCAGAAAAATCAGTGTTAACTCCTGTTCAAGAAATACAATTCTTAGGTTGCATTATTAATTCCATCAACATGACAGTGCGGTTGAATAATATAAGAATACAAGAAATTATCTCGTTCTCACAAGACCTAAGGAAAACTAAATCACTGTCTATTCGGAAGCTGGCTTGCTATATTGGTAAACTAGTTTCCTCAATCCCGGCATCAGATTTTGCTAAATTGCATTATAGAAATCTAGAAAAAGGAAAAATTAATGCACTAAAAAGGAACCATGGTAATTTTGATGCAGAAGTAGCCATAACAAAATTAATGATGGATGAAGTTAATTGGTGGGAACAAAACTGTTCGACTATGACTAGGGCTATCCAAAAACCCAACCCGGCTCTGACCATTGAGTCTGATGCTAGCGGCGATGGATGGGGTGGTTTTAATGGGACAACTGCCATAGGTGGTTGATGGTCGGAGGAAGATCACAACTCCATTGACATTAACATAAATTACTTAGAGCTTTTGGCTGCTTTCCTAAATGTAAAAGCCTTCTGTAAAAACATGACGGACTTCAAGATTGAATGCACAAGTAGAGAAATATGTTGCATGGCACCCAGACCCAGGGGCATTTGAATCTGATGCATTTTCGTTCAATTGGGTGCAATATTATTTTTATGCATTCCCACCTTTCTGCTTAATCGATCGATGACTAAAAAAGGTGTACGAAGATGAAGCAGAGGGAATTATAATCGTCCCAACATGGCCAACCCAAGCTTGGTTTGCCAGATTGTTACAACTTCTGGTTGACAAGCCCATCAAACTTCCAAACTCAAGGGAAACGTTGACACTCCCAATGACAATGAAAATACACCCTATTTACAACAAATTAAGTTTAATTGCTTGCAGGATATCAGGAAAGCACTTGTAGAAGCAGGTATCTGGCGGGACACAGTCGACATAATTATATCATCTGAGACCACCCAAACCTAAGTATACTCATACTTGGGATATCAACATTTTATTGAATTATTTAAGGGGTTACTCTAGCACGTTGGCTAAAGCAAACATTAGAGGCGGCTGATATAGATATCAGTTTCAAACCTCACTCAGTTCGATCGGCTGCTGCGTCAGCAGCGGTAAGGGATAAGGTGCCTATCCCAGAGATAATGAAACGAGCCGGTTGGTCGAGTGAGAAAACTCTACAGGGGTTTTACAATAAACCATTGGTTAATGATGTTTAGGTGTTACTGGCTTGGCGATATTTGTTTGATATTAAACGCTTACGTTGAGATGAACTCAGAACTCCAGTGTGTGGTCGGGTTCTTTGTTTTGTGTTTTTTAGTGGAATGACCTCACATGCTTTCAACATCTCACAATAATCTCTACCATCCTCTCCCACCCTTGGGATGTAGTACTTTTTGGGATCTCTGAGCTCATTCCACTGTGTTCAATGCTGATCTGCACATGCGCTAGGCTCGAATCTCACATAATCTCTACCACTAAAATTACTTCATGAAATATCGTTCAAACTTCGAACAGGTAAGTTCTCGTTTAATCTACACATTTCATTTCGTAATTCGTGGTAGAGATTATTGTGAGATCTTAAAAGCATGTGAGGTCATTCCACTAAAAAACACAAAACAAAGAACCCGACCACACACAGGTAAGTTCTCGTTTAATCTACACATTTTCTATGTTCAAATCTAAATCAACATTTAAAAATTTTGTTAGCCTTTGATGTGTTCCATTGTGTTTTCTGTACATTCAGACAGAGTTTATGTGCTAACCATTTGTTAACATTTACTAAATCATTATTAATTTTCATTAACACTTCATTTGGAAGATGCAAAGTAAAGAGCTGTATCATCTGCATACATACTAATTTGTACACTATTTACATGCTTTGGTAGATCATTCACATATAATGTAAATAACAGAGGACACAAAATTGATTGACAGTTTAGGTGGCCTAAACTGTCTAGCCTCCTTTGTTCATATCTGACAATTTGTTAATTCACTTCAAATAAACAGTTTGTAAGCTGGATAGTATGCTGTAAAATATGCTTGATTGAGAGCTTTTCGGGCCTAAGAAAATAATAGTAAAAGTTCACCTTTTGTTCTCTAAAAATCTTGAAGTAGAGCCATAATCTTGAAGTAGAGTAAATACTTATCAAATTACCAGAGCACTATTGATCAAAAAGACTTCCAAGTTGGAAATATTAGATGAAATACTAAGAACAAAAACCTGACATGTTGTCTGTCCTTCATAAGATGTTTCTTTCGACTACAATGACCAATGAGTCAGAAGAACATTGTCTGTTTGATCTCTAGTCTAGGGCTAGGCCCATGTTCACGGGATGAGGCTATGCAAAAATTTTCAAGTTTTCCATTTGTTTCTTTCACTCCATTTCAAATGTAACGGGTCAATACTGTGACATTTATTAAGGAAATATTTACCAAGGCTTTTCGCAGTTCAGGTTGTGAGCCGTAGCAGTTTGTGCAGATATACAATCTACAGTCTATGTTCTATTGTTTCACCGTCGCAGAGAGACATCGAAACTTCTTGCGGTTTTTCTGGTTCAGGAACAATGACTACGATGAGCCGCTCATAGAGTACCGAATGCGGAAGCATGTGTTTGGCAATAGTCCCTCCCCAGCCGTGGCAAACTTCGGATTAAGGGATGTAGTGAAGCATGCAGAAGAAGACGTAAAGGAATTTGTTAATTATAGTTTCTATGTGGACGACGGTTTAATCTCATGCAACGACCTGGAATCTGCAATATCCTTGATGAAGAGAACCAAGACAGCACTGATCCAAAAGGCCAATATTAACCTACACAAGATTGCTTCTAACTCGCAAATGGTACTGGACGCCTTTCCAATGGAAGATAAAATTAAGGAAGTGAGAGACCTGAACGTGAATAAAGACAACGTACTACTACATAGGACATTAGGCGTGCAGTGGCGCTTGAGTGATGATATGTTGACCTTCGACGTTAATATAGAAGATAAGCCTTATACCAAAAGAGGAGTTTTGGCTACGATCAATGGCGTGTTTGACCCCTTGGGATTTGTAGCTCCTATCATGATACAGGCAAGGGTTCTCTTTCGCAACATGATAACTGCAACATCAGGCTGGGACGAGGAGTTGCCAGTCGGTTACCAGCGCTCATGGAAGTCATGGAAGGATGGGTTAAACAAGCTAACAATGCTGTCCGTACCACGTGCGTATCCACTCAACATAGACAAACCGGTTCGTTTATATGTATTGTGCGACGATTCGGAATTAGCGGTTGCCGCGGTAGCTTATTTGATGAACAAAGACGACACAACAGGGCAAGCCAGTTTTGTGTTTGGGAAGTCTAAATTGGCACTGAAGGCTGGTCACACCATCCCCAGATTGGAACTCTGTGCAGCTGTGTTGGCTACAAAGATTACTCAAGTAGTTTGTATGGAGATTGACATACCATCTTCTGAGGTTATATACCACTCCGACAGTAAAGTGGTCCTCGGCTATCTGAATAACACTACTAGACGGTTCCATACATATGTAGCGAATCGTGTGTAGAAGATCCTTCAATTCTCAGAAAATATGTTCTGATAACGTACCCTCTGTCTTCTAGACGACAGAAAATCAATTATCCAAGGTATGATTTCAGGCCTAGTTCCCAAGGATAACAGATAGTTTACAGCAACAGTATGATCGATATGATCGAAGGCTTTAGAAAAGTCGGTAAGTACAAGTGTTCCTATGGAAGAGCCTGAATCACATGACTTATATAATAAATCTAACATTTCGATTAAATAATGAGTAGCTGATGTCCCTTTGAGACATCCAAATTGAAAAGGATTAAGATTTGAATGGATATCACTAAGGAGCCATTCGTAAATATATTCCTCAGCAATCTTGGCGAACCTTGAGGTCAGTGATATTGGTCTGAGTTTGTCAATTGTAGCTGGTGTTTCCTTCAGAAGAGGGACAACTGTTGCGTCTTTCCATGGTGAAGGTACAATGCCTGCCTTAAACGACGAATTCAAGATGTCAGTAAAAGGTATAGCGAGTTCGCAAGCAAAAGTTTTGATAAGTTTGTTGGGTACCTTATCAGGACCAACAGATTTACTGACACATACTCTTGAAAGCTTAAGATGTACATCCCATAATGTAACTTCAGGAGGGCGATTAGCAGGTAAGTAGCATAACAGTTTACTTTTAAGTCGATAGGGGGTAAAGATTTAACATGATCAGCAAATTTTGAACTAATAGCTTCAGAAATTGCTTGCACATTTGATGCAGGTATCCCAGGAACATCGATAAGTGGTGGTTGATGGAGTTGGTTTGCAATAAGCTGTATTCCCTTATGCCATTTGACCGAGTCAGGTGATTTAAAAAGACTAACACGATAGCCTGTTAATAGTAAGACATCACCATGCTTTTTCAGCAATTCGCAGAAGATTCCATATAGACAAGGTAAGAGTTGTTTATGATTGCGCAGCAAAATCATCTGGTACATCACTTAATAATAACCTTCTAAAAGGTCCCAATCTTATGAACGACTTGCTTGGTGTGCTTTTGCGCTTCAGGGAAGGTAAGATAGCTGTAGTTGCTGACATTAAGTCTATGTTCCACCAAGTGCGAATGAGAGAAGTTGACAGGGATGTCCTTCGTTTTCTCTGGTGGGAAAGTGGTAAATTAGATCAGCCTTATAAAGAGTATCGAATGTGCGTGCACCTGTTTGGTGCCACCTCTTCTCCCTGTTGTTCAGGTAAGGCATTGAAACAGACCGCCGATGACTGTGAAGCACTTAACAATGACGACATAGGTAAAAAGACAATTTAGTTGAACGAATCTAATAAGCTTGTTGTATAACATGAAAAACCTAGGACTAGTGGCCATGCTACGATACTGTTTTTCAATGTCAATGTGTAACCTTTTAATAAGTTAAAACTTAGAACGAAGTACAGTAGAATTCTCGGAATTCTGGTTTAATTTACAGTAAATATTTATGTGCTATGGACATCTTTTACATTTTATTGTTAATTTTCTGTATTCATTTAGAACCCATATCACAGGGAAATTGTTTATAGTTCCTGCTGAAGTTCGCTTATCAAGTGAGTTATGAATATTAAATGAGATGCGTTGTACATGAGCTGATAGCTAACAGCCTGTCTTTGTTCTGAAACAACTTTCTTTAGTGTTGTTTATCTGATGGCATTGTATTGCCACATGTAACTTAGCTTCTACTAAGTAGTTATAATGGATGAATGCCTTTGTATTGCGTTAACTGGGTATTAACAGTGAGTTGGCTCTCTGGATGTGTTTTCTAATTATTCAACTGTTTTACATTTTTACAAATTATATTATACATTTAATTACATTAATATCACATATTATCATTATTTAATCTGATAGCATACTCATTGAGTAATAATTTGATTAACCGGTGATGACACACTGCGGAAAAATAAACCAATATGGTAAATGTAAAGCATGTCATCCTTTCGGTTTCATTTATGTGGAGTTTAAAAACCCACCTGGAGTCTGATAATGAATCCATCGGAAATTATAGTGTATTGTGGAGTCTGTTGAGGAGAAGACGACGTACGAAAAGAAGACGTATAATCTCGGCACTAAGTATAATCTATGGGACCACAATGTTATGTTTTCATGATTAAGTTGACAATTGATTATAAACCTTTGATAAACATAATGGGTACAGTAGCTACCATGAGATAGGGGTGCCCTATCAGAAATCAGATAGAGTTCGGAACTTAAACAAAACTGCGTTCGAATCTCAAACAAGCATCATAGAGACATAGCACATGTTTCGATATGAACGCCTTTTACTGTCTTTTAAGGGATGCCCTCTTGATCGTGGTAGTACTTTTGGATACAATAATATGAGGATTGCGTTTCAACGACATAACCCCGAGACCGAGAGTTCAACTCTTTGGTTTTACCTAAACACCTGAAACCAAAATGTTGTTTGCAGAAGTAAAATTACGAACCTCTCAAACCAAATCCCCATGCAGATACTTTAGTAAACATAATACAGTATAAGGGCAATAGACACACGCTCCCTCTGGGAGCCTGTTTTAATATCTGACAAAGGATGAGTAAAGTATAAATCACTAACATAAAAAATGTCTTGGGTTCGATTCCTTTTCCCAAATATTTGTTATCATATTTAATTACCACCAATGGAGGTGTATCTCCATACCAAAGTTACTACCAAAAACATGTGGAATTATTGTTATTAGTATGAAAAAAAATTTTCTGGTATCTCACAGGATTTGAACCCAGCATCTTGAAACAGGAAGGCAGGCACCTTAACCACTGAACCACTATTCAAGATACCTTATAGAACACACTTCTACACTCAAGATTTGCAGTCAATTCTACCTTTTAAGCGCAAATACTGGAAGAAAAGAAAACGTTTATTATAATTAGAAAACCTCATATAATTGCATATATAATCAAATTTTTGCTAATAAATTAGATAGCTATTTTTCTCATTAAATTTTAGATTTCAGATTTCTTTAATAACTTCAACTGGCAGTAAAATTCTGAATTGCGAGAAGTTTACAATATATATACAATTAAAATTATTATCTAAAAATAAAGAGAAAAAAGTGAACAACACACGACTTCACAAAATTTAAAAACATGGAACATATTTTAGTAATAATAATATAGAGATTTATACCGCGCCTTTGGCCAAGAGAGGGATAAAAGGGGCTGGCGATGTTGTTATTATTACCCCTGGTCATCAGATCCATAATAAAGCCAGCACAAAGTTCAACTTCCTCCACTCTCTGGGCATATTCCTAGTCATGCATGCAATTTAATGCCGACAGACTAATACATGCAATGCCGCATTATTATACTATGCACCCATTTATACTCAGGGGTTGATAGAGCCAAAGTAAAGTGGCTTGACAAGGACACAAGCAATGCGACGAGCGTCTGTCTCAAACTCCCAATCTCACAATCAAAAGTCCAACATCTCACACGCTGAACCACACGCTATTAGTTAATACGGTACTTAAATATACAAAGTACATACTTTAAATATTGTACTTTACTGTATATATTATTATATATTTATATTGTTCTATAATATACAGTTTTAAATATCACACTCTTGTGGCAGAACACATCTTTGATGTATATTTTATTGTGAATAAATAAAGCTTTTGGTTGATTGATTCTTCAAGTTTTATTAAGCTCAGACAGTAAATCTTAACGTACTTGGAACTTTGCATTAATATTATTTATATCACTCAATGGCTGCAAGCTAAATTAAAAGAAACCCTCCAGATCCCCTCCCCCAATTTCCATCTACGTGAGGAAACCCCAGAATTCCTCTTATTTTCTAATACCAACATATACTTACATTTTTGCGACTAATAATAGCTTGCTGAACCCAGAGCAATTCCATGGCAACGTGATTCCTTAGTTCCTTCAACTCTTCAGGATCTGTTGGATAATTCTTGGTCCCTATATGGACAAATACACACAAAGAACATTAAACATTGAGAAAAAAAGAGTTTAGGCAAAATGACATTGTGCTCATTAGATTAAGTCTGACACATATTACTGTATTTGGGTCCTGTTATGTATTTCACTGATTCTGGGCACATTTAATGTTATGTACATTAATACACATAATTAGTGTATTTGGGTCATTTAATGTTGTGTACAGTATTACACTGGTTCAGGACCTCTTATGTATAACACAGGTTTAAGGCTATGTAGCAAGGGCTACAATCAAAGTGCCTGGGATCTCCTAAATTTTGAAATTTAAAAAAAAATTTAAAAAAAAAACACTCAATTCATAAAAGTCATTCACTGGGCCACCTGAGAAAAATCCTCATTAGAGTGTCTAATGTTTCTACTGCCATAGACTGTGTAGGTATATAAAGAAAATAGAGCAATGGTTAAAAGAAAAAAAGAGCTACAGAGGGCAGTGTTTAGAAAATTTATACCATCACAAAATTTTACTCAAATATATAATACAACTTATGCCATTTAATCAAAGCACTACTCTATATTTTCTATATTTGTGATGCAGTAAACAAAGTTTGTAGGTGTTAACACCAACCTCTAAATGATAACTCGGAGCCCCAAACAGATGTTTCATTGTGAATTCCAAATCTGCTTGCTTGCATATCAACTTTATCTTCAGGTAAAGTATTAATCACATTTGAGTCAATAGAGGATGGTCCATCCATTTTGGTACAACTTTCTCCAAGTTTAGCATTTTGATCTGTACCATCTTTCATTTCTTGCATTAGATTTGATCGTTCCTGTTCGTCTGACTGAGTAGCAGAAGCATCTTCAGTCTTCTTGCTACAACCAGTTGATGAACCATTTTGAATCAATTGATCCATCTCAATCTCCTTTTTGTTCTCTTTCTCAGGAGCCTGAATGTCACCATCCATCTGGAAAGACCTTGTCAACTGTGCCTTTTGGTTAGGTAGATCACCTTCAATTGGGACAACATCAGTCCTGTTTACGGACTCAAGAGAAGCTGTGTTTGATCTCTCAGAAGCCAGTGCCTCATCCTCGTTCAAAGCTCTGATAAGTCCATCCGAATTAATTTCTGTTTGTAAACATGTCTCTGGAATTTGCACCCCATTGATAGCAGAGTTCCCTTGTTCATCTCTAGTAATGTCACTCCTTATTCTTTCTGGAAGCATACAGGTTTCAAGACTTTCTTCACCCATGCATGTTTTTTCTGATGCCTTTTCATTTTGTTTCACCTGTTTTTCAACATTTTCACAACCATCAACCTCTTGCTTGTGTTTTGTTTCTGGTGATAATTTGTTTTCCACAACTGGTCTCTTCTTGTATTTTTTCTAAAAGCAAACAGCAAGACATAAAATAGTTGTTATATTTGTGAATATTTAGTGTGAAAGTTTGGCATAAATAATGCATAATCAGTTTTTCTATGTGCTATCTAATGCTTATTTCCATTCAACTGAATAAATTGTTGTGTTAGAATATACAGGTCAAAACACCATTTTAACAGCATTTTGTTTTAAATATTTAATTAAATTGTATATGATGTATTAATGTTTTAAAATATACCTTTGAAATTTGTATATGGTGATGCTATCATTATCAAATTCATCATCATCAACATTGTCATCATTATTATCATGTTTTTTTATTATAATTGTAATCTTGATTGTGATCCTCATGAATGATCCTCAGTATTATTATCTTCATTATGATTAAGATCCTCATAATCATCAAGATCACTATCTCCATCATCATCATCATCAATACCAATGTCATCAACATCATTATCATCAACTTTGTTGTCATCATAATGAACATCATCATCACCATCATCATCATAATCATAAATCAAAATCATCATGATTTTACACTAAAAATATTTAACAGCATATCCAAGCCTTTCACACACACTGCTGGATGAGTCTATAGTACATGAATTAGAAAAGGAGAAATGTGTGGAATATTATTACCTTTATATAATGATGTGGTATACAGGGATATTCTGAGTGCCAGTCTACAGTGCTTTGGTTGCTATGTTGCTGTTCCAGTCTTAAAGTCAACTCTTCATAATCTGTCCTCAGTTGTGCCAGGTGCCTACGCACAATAAAGCCCTTAACAACTGCCTAATTTTAAGAAAAAAATAAAAAAACTTTAAAATATATACTTAGTCTTAAGCGAAATTATAATAAACACAAATGTGCAGATGTTACGTGGCAATGTTCTGTCAGAAACAGGCCTTCTTTATGTGCAGAGCAATGTGTTGGAAGAAGGTAGATTTTGTATAAAGATCACAGAGATCCAGGTATATACTGTATTAATAATGTGTTTAAAGCTAAATAAAGCAGAGTAGGACTATATTATTTATAAAACTTTCACATGTAGCCAAAATTCAATGTTTTCTCCATGTTTACAGTATGTTTATGTGTAGGTTTCTTTATATTTTCAGTGTGTACAAGAAAGTGCATGAGTTTGGGCTGCAGAGGAATTACGATTCATATGATGCTGGGACCTGAATGGTTATTTAGAGATTTATGGCACTGCCACTATTATCGCTGAAGCATACTGTATACCTGCGGTTATTTAAGACATCATGCAGAACGCCGGAAATTCTCCACCAATAACAAGACTCAAGTTTTGGATTACAGTAAACCTGGATCGTGGGAACTGTCTTCAAGCCGCCAGACTGGACATGATTAACGCATAAGGACTAATAATGACCCAGAAGCTTGGCATTACCACCTACAGTACTCTAAACCATCAGGACGAGGAGATAAGATATTTCTTAGATAATTTCAAAACTACCATTTGTCTACTATAAAACTACATTTTCGAGAAAAAATGATAATGTCGTAACCTATTTATATGTTAATTGATATGGAAGCATGAATGAAGATTACAAAAGAACTAAACAATTTAAAATTGTTAGACACCACTGTTGTTTGTCTAAGAATGCTACTATGAAAATGAGTTCGCCTAGTGCCTTAAGTTGAACTTGACACCCATATTGACTTTAAAAATACAAATGAAATGATTATTACAAAGCACATGTATACATAATTCCTATATCTCTTTCAGCCAATTTGCAATTCTATGTGATGTGTAGGCTGATGTATGAAGATGCAGTAAGAGTGTCTATCACAGCAGAGTTAGTATTGCAGGAGGATGCAACCAAGTCACAAACCAACGAATCAAAGAAGAGTAGAGAGAAGTGGCAAAGTATGCGGCGCAAGTATCAGGCCAGGCAGCAAAGTGCCCAATCGCTTTTAAATGTAGGCAGTAGAATCATCTTACCACACACAATGATTAAAGAGTGATAATTAATTAGGATATAATTTAAATAAAAATGATGATAATGTTTTGGAATAATAACTCAACAGCACATGAATCAAAACTACAACCTTCATATACTGAAATGGCCTTTATCCATAGGGAATAAGATATATGCTGGACTACAGTTCGTTAAAGATGCTGTGTCCTCCTTGGAAGGGTCCAGGGGTTATCATTGAGGTAATCACACTATACTTATTTAGAGGCATGTTTCAAGCCCCATATATGCCTATAATAGGTTTCTATTTATTTTCAGTGTGTGTACAAGAAAGTGCAAGAGTTATGGCTACAGAGAGATTACAAATCATATGCAATGCTGGGCCCATACAGTTATTAAGATATGTATGGCACTGCCGTTATCGCTACTGTTATCGCACAATCATACTGTATACAATACCTGCAGTTATCAAAGACATCATGCAGACTGCCAAAAATTCTCCACCAATAATGAGACTCTTGGATTACTACAGGTCAACCAGGATCATGGGAATCTTCTTCACACCACCAGACTGGGCATGCTATAATCAACGCATAAGGACTAATAATGACCCGGAAGGTTGGCATTACTACCTAAACCAAAGATGATGACGAGGTAAGATATTTTTTAGATAATTTTAAAACTAACTTTTAACCACTGAACCAGGTATACAAATAATGTGTTTAAAGGTAAACCTGCAGTTATCAAAGACATCATGCAGAACGCAAAAAATTCTCCATCAATAATGAGACTCTTGGATTACTACAGGTCAACCAGGATCATGGGAACCTTCTTCACACCACCAGACTGGGCATGCTATAATCAACGCATAAGGACTAATAATGACACGGAAGGTTGGCATTACTACCTAAACCAAAGATGATGACGAGGTAAGATATTTTTTAGATAATTTTAAAACTAACTTTTAACCACTGAACCAGGTATATAAATAATGTGTTTAAAGTCAGACTCCGGAGGAAAAAAAGTTTTTGACATGTTGTAGAACTGATTTTTCTAAGACAGAAAAAAGTAGTTTGACGAAAAACTGGGGAACAGTGAATGAGATACAGACTTTTTAATATTTAAAAACTGGGGGAAAAAGGGGCGTAACCACCCATTTTTACACCTTTTTCCCCCAGTTTTTAAATATTCAAAAATCTGTATCTCATTCACCGTTGCTCAGTTTTTGATCAAACTACTTTTTTCTGTCTTAGAAAAATCAGTTCTACAACATATCAAAAAATTTTTTCCTCCGGAGCCTGACTTTAAAGGTAAACCGTTTAAAGCTAAATTAAGCAGAGTAGTACTATATTACCTATAAAACTTTTCTCTTTTTATTTTCAGTGCGAGTACAAGAAAGTGCAGGAGTTTGGGCTACAGAAGGATTACAAACCATATGTAATGCTGGGCCCATACGGTTATTAAGCGAGATATGGCACTGCTACTATTACCACACAAGCATAATGTATACCTGCGGTTAGACAATGTGCAGAACACCAGAAATTCTTCAGCAATAACGAGACTCTTGGATTAATACAGGTAAACCTGGATCATGGGCACTTTCTTCGCACCGCCAGACTGGGCATGCTATAATCAACGCGTTAGCACTAATAATGACCTGGAAGGTGGGCATTACCACCTAAACCACAGAGGACGATGAGGTAAAATATTTTTTACATAATTTCGAAACAAACTTTTAACCACTGTGTAACTAGCTTTTGTGTGCTAAAAAAAAAATGATAATGTCATAACTTATTCAAAGGTTAATTGATATGGAAGCATAAATAAAGATATCCTTACAAAAGAACTTAAAACAATTAAATATTAGACACCATTGTTGTTGTTGTTTGTCTAAGAATGCTATTATGCAAATGAGCGATGCCCATATTGTCTAAGAAAAATATAAATGAAATGATTGAAATATTATTACAAAGCATTATTACAAAGCAAATTCTTTATCTCTTTCAGCCAATCTGCAATTCTATGTCAACCAAGTCAAAAACCAATGGATCAAAGAGGAGCAGTTGCTAAGAATGTGGTGCGACTATCGGGCTGATCAGCGAAGTACCCAAACCCAATCGCTTTTAAATGTAGGCAGTAGAATCATCTCGCCACACACCCATGATTAAAGAGTGATAATCAATAATATTAATTTAAATAAAAATGATGATAATGTTTTGGAACAATATTAATAATGTTGACTTTTATATGCACTGTAAATACTTGAACATAAATAAGCTGACGATAAACAAGATGAGTCTGAATATCAATTAGATTGAAAAATGAGGCTCATAACTATACCATCGATGGAAAAGTGTGCCAGTTGTATTAGCTTGTAAATATTTATTTATTACCATTAATTCAAAACTCGATTGGAGTGATCATGTACTGGTAACCCATACTTGAATACGGTTTACCAGCTTGGACACCACACCTTAAAAAGCACATCATGTCACTCGAATAAGTACAATGCCGCATGACTAAATCATGCAATCTTTCTTCATCAACACTATCCTACTATGAAAGACTTATTGAAATGAAGTTAATGTCATTTGAACATAGACTCCAATTTATTATTTTAACATTTACTGCTAAATGCATGTATGGCCAGCTAAACGTATTTAAGTACATTAATATTAATCACAGACCAACTTAAATTCAATTATGCATTCGCCAGGACAAACTCATTCACAGTCTTTAAATATTTCCCACGTATCTGGGATACTTTGCCAAATGAAATAAGAGATGAACTAATTTTTAACTTTAACGTATTTATTAATCAACTTAAAATCCACTTTGTTGAAAATAAAAAATTGTAAATATACACAAAATTTTAAACTTGTATATAAAGATCTAATTTATTGATAAATATTTGTATTTTACCTTTATGTTGCCATATATTATTTTGTTGCTAGCTGCACTTTGGAGAGCTTCCAGACAGTAGCCCTAATGCCACTTTTGAGCAATCCCGTCTGGTGCTCGCTAACATTGTTTCTTTTCTGTTTTTTTTTTCTTTTTGTTGTTTATCTGTTACTGTGTATGTTGAACTGAAGACGAAATAAATGATATGATATGATATGATAATCTAAATATTATTAAGCACCCAAACGCTTTTAAATGTAGGCAGTAGAATCATTTCGCCACGCACACATGATTAAAGTGTGATAATAAATTAGGATTAAATAAAAATGCAATGTTTTGGAACAATATAAGATTAATTATGTTGACTTTCATATGCACTGATAATCCATCTATTATTATTATTATTACTGTAAATACCTGTACATAATAAAGCTAAATATTATTATGTGTATAATTAAATAAAATATGATAACGTTCATGTAAATCTGCTTGTTTTTGTACATACGATTTTATTATTTGTGTATAGTTAATTAAATATTAACAGTAATTGTTAAAATATCCAGTCTTTATTTTATTACTCAGTGGAAGAATTGATGGTTGTATAGCACAAATTCCTTGCATATTTCTAACCGTCTTGGTTTTTATCATTGATTGCATTGTTACTTGTGTGAGCGTTATTTTGGATAGGGGTAGCTGTAGTTAGTATGTAGCCTTACCAATAACACTAACAACGATGGAGACAGAAGGACACAGTGGAAGTAGGAACCTACATTTCATAGCTGGTAACCTCCATTCAAAACGGTCATGATGAAGTAGCAAGGCAGACCCTCACTGAGCAGGCGCCTTTACGATTCCTTTAGACTATTGTGATAAATGTAATCATGGCTCATGCGTCCCTCCAAACATTAGAAAAAAAATAGAAAATTATGATCTTTAGAGGGCATTTAAAGATGTTTAAATTTTGGAATTTTGACTTCAAAGAAATAGTGTTTAATTAGCTATCAGAAAGATATTTTAGTTATAGACATAGATTGCGCACGACTGCAGTTACTCACATAATGTTTCTAGGCTATGCAGATGCATCTTCATCTCTCGCCTTAGTCTAGTGTAAATTCTACTCTAGGTCCTCCCAATTGAGAGATACTGTAGGCCTAGACCTACTGTGTTTTGTTGACTAATAAAACTTGTGACATTAACAACAAATCTTCTTTACGGTATTTAGAGGTATACAGAGAGTTACGAATACCAACATTCGTGTTAATGAACACGATTGATGATTAACAATCATGTTAATATCTGTAAAATCTGGATTTTTTTGTCATGTTCCTTCCACATAATAATTTAGTTTAAAAGTTTTCTAATGTTGATATTTTCAATTGCAGCATTTCGGTTTTTAAAACAATTATTATTGACTTTATCTAGGTTTGTGTGCAATTTTCATGTAATTCAATTTTATAATGTTTAGGGTTAAATTTTATATATTTTTTAACATATTATTTTATTAAAACATGGTTTTGGTTTTTTTTAAACTGTTGGGTGTTGTTCAAGTGAATAAATAAATTAAATTATTAAATTAATATTATGTTGGGGAACCGAATCTCGGGTATTGTGCATGCGTTGTGGGCGACTCAGAACCGTCCACTTTCCAGTGGGGTACAAATGTTTTTAGCATGACGCATGTTGTATGTAAACTTTTCACCGGGTAGGCAATGGTTAAGCCTTACATTTTTGGGAATCCCCACCGAATATTGGTATGAAAACAATGTACATTTAATGAATAAAGGTTGTTTTTATCAAATGTAAATATGATTTAGCTTCAGTTTAATGTAACATTTGATAGATTTGAATATAAATAATTTGCTACAATAAATGTAGACAAGGCCCAAATAAGCTAGGCTGAGCAGATAAGGGCAAGCTGACCTATCCGTCACAGTAAAAGTGGCCATCCTACATAATTGTTGGCCATCCAAAAGATGGCTGGACGGCTCGCTGGCTAAGCCTATGTCAACGTCTAAGAGGCATGGCTGGGGATCCGACAGCGGAGGAGTGTTATTCATGGGCACTCGACATCCAAAGGTTATCCTGCATCCAGTGAGAGCAATGAGTACTTTTTCACAACTTTTTATTCAACGATACATCAAGACCATGGACGAAATGCAGATACTTCTTGAATCAAACTGTCCGCACTTTGCTCCGGCAGGACATTGAGTTCACTCACCCTATCTCCTGTGGGCTACAGCGATGGCAGTTTAAAAGGTGCTCAGCTGGGACACCAGGCAAATCCTACTGTAGATCTGACCTGGAAAAATGGTTGAGACCTTTTCTAGGAAGATCAGCTGTCCCAAGAAGAAATCTTTAGTTCTTTTTAATTGTTTGCAGAAAACTAATTTACTTTACTTTTTTCAGACCTGGATGGTTTAGCTAAGTGATCCTCTGAGAAAACTCCTGTTTCTGCATTTTCCGTTGGACTCTTCAGTACGTTCACCAGGCCTCCTGTACAATCTGTGACCCAGCGAGCCGTACGTTATTCGACTGATTCCCTGATGTGGGGTATTATCACCTCTTTTCAATTAAGGGAGGAGTGTAGTGACAACTGCTGTCTGCTCGATAGTCCAATCAACGGCAACAACCTCTGACCTCAGTGCCTGTATATTTGCATGTCGTGCCTTCGAGAATCACTGTCACTCGTACACCAGATTCTGTGCAAGACATATATTTAGCTCACGCTATTGGAATATATTGTATTGTGTTGCATCCCGTACGGTTGGAGTACGGTATTACTGTATACTTCATTTGGAGTACTGTACCGTAGGCAAGACTTTTTTATACCTTGTTCAGTGAACCTGCCGACTGCAAATATTGATGATTTAAAAAAAAAAAAATTGTACTTTTGGCCAATTAGCACACCCACCGCCACTTAAAAAAAGTGGAAATCAGAAAAAAACAAAAGTTTTTCTTCAATTTTTACGCCCTGTAACGATATGTATATTTATTCAAAATATGAATTTGAAGCATTTAAACATCCTAATTTACATTCACCAATAAAATTTTATTCTCATTTTCTCCTCCGTCTGGATGATTTAGTTTTGCCAAAATAAGTTTTGCTAAATAAGAAAACAAAATTTTATTTTTATTTCGCCCTCCTGCAATAATGTTTAAAAAAATATCTGCTCGAAACAAGGAATAAAATAAAGTCTCGCATTATATTGGAGCATTTATTGCTACGCAAGATATTCTATTGGATAAAGGTATGCTTCACTCGGTTATCTTACATCACAGTGTTATTAGGTAATAATTACTAGGGCCTACAATGGGATTGTTCACATTTGAAATTGGTTTATTATGATTGCCTTGTTGCGCAAGTTTTCTTTGTTCTGTATAATAATACCTGTAAAGCTTTTAGTTTAAGTTGAATTCTAGTTTAATTTGATTAGCTCTCTAGCCTAGGCCTATGTCTGAGAGCCTCTCTCTTAGTCTCTAGCCTAGCCTACCCGAGTGAGGCCTGCCCAGGCCCTCAGCTAGGTCCATGTAAGGTGTAGGCCCTAGGCCCTAACTGTAGCTAGCCTAGCCTAGCCCAGGACTATCCAGGCCTAGTGTGGTCGCAGTCCAGTGTAATTTTGTTGGTGCAGCTAAGATGCGCACAATAATACTGATCTAAAGTCTATTTTCATTAAGAAATTTATGTAGGCCTACCTGTAATGTGCACAGTTTTGCTAATTCTTCATCGTCTAAAGTCAAATGCTTTAAATGTTCCGCCATACTTTCAGATCTACTAGTACTAGCCTAGTGAAAGGTCAAAGTGCAGTTTTCTTGTTGTGGATTTGCTGTTGGGGGTTGTTCCCCGCGTTGTTTTTTTGTAAGCTAATTCCATATTTTTTACTAAGAAACGGCGCACAGTTTGAATCCTTGATGGCAAGCAATGCAGAATCATCATCAAACGTTGCTGCGAGTGAAATCACAAAGACACAGATACCACCATGTCATTATGAATGTAAGTATCCTAGGCTAGCTAGGCCAGTGCAATCAATTCAGCAACAAGAAGGAAGAAATCCTCTGCTCCTGTATTGTTGTCTTGCTCTTCTTTTGGCCTAGGAGGCCCTACAGTACCTCCTAGGGCTAGGCCCTCTTTAGGCAGCTCCGTGCAGTGCAAAAAAACTGCTCTATTCTAACCTGACTGCTGCAGTCCAAACGCCATTTTTTTTCTATTTCCAATTGGCGTAATTTGCCAAAGTGTGTAAATTTCTGGGGTCAGAAATCTGTTTCATTTTTATTTCCTTTTAGATTTGGATCACACAGCTGATGTTCAGTAAGTAAAGACATACAGTACTATACTATACTAATTAAAAATTAAATTCAAATTACAGAAAACCTTTTTCAAAGGTAGCATTCACAAATCAAATGCAAAATAAAAACAGGAACCTAAAGCTATATGTACATGCATATTATAAGAATGCACTTCTATAAATAAGTTTAAAAGCCACCTTGAAACGCACTGGCAAAACCACAGCCTGAAGTACGAACCCTAAAGTATATCATACTGTAGAGAGACTCACAAACCTTAACAGGTTTCCAGTTCAAAGGTCAAGGTAAATCAAGGTAAAAACAAGAATGTACCAATGTGTATGTTTGTATGCTGCTTTGCAGATTGAATTAAGTTGAATTTAATTAAGCATTGGTTTCTTTGTATTTTCTTACAGATTGCATTCTTGTATCCTTTTTTTGAAATCATGTACTGTAGCTATGAGATATTTGCTCATAATATAAATTATGTACAGTATGAAATTTTTGTATATTAAATGGATTTTCTAACATATTTGTTTAAATTGCATAACAGTATGATCAGTAGTGGTGGTTCCTTAAATTTGCTGACAATGATGGGTCCAACTAGTCTTATGGGGTCCCAGACCTACCAAGGTTATTCAATAAATAATGTGGGACACTTACAGAAAGGCGGTCCACACACCCTCAGCCGCACCATGGTTGGGACTGAGGCGAGAACATTTTAAGATTATGGTACCCATAATGGCTGTAAATGCAATTATTTAAACACTGTAGAATCCGGTTTTTGAGATAAATCTTAAAGAATTATATTTCAACATCATTATGATAATGATTAATAATTACTTGCATTCTAATGTAGTTTTATTATATATTTTTCAATCATCAATTTAAAAAAATAGATCAAAGATAAAATTTTGAATATTTTGTCAATTATGAACTTAACCAACTGTAGGGGGAGACACGCTTCAAGAATCATTTGAACAGGTAAAGTATAGTAATAATATGTAGGTTTTTATATAGCGCTCTACACAACTAAGTCTTGGATCATTGAAACGATGCCTATGGGGGAAATTCCATAGTTTTCTGCATGAAATCAGCGCATTTTGCACTTGAACCTTGTTAGGTACCCATTTATACTCCTGGGTGGAGAGGAGCAATGCAGATAAATTGCCCTGCTCATGGACACAAGCGAAATGCACAGCAAGAGATTGAAAGTCCGCCCTCGAGGTTGGGAAACCAAACCGTTCTCGCTGCACCAATCCATTTCAACAAAGAAATTTGTGTTATTACAAGCAATTAATTATATTTTGACATCCATTCCTCTGACCACTAAAGCGAGACTTTTTTATACCTTGTTTTGTGAACCCACTGCCCTCCAATATTGATAATTTGGAATAAAAATAAAATTTTAAGGCAAATTAGGACACCTGCCACAGCGAAAAACTAAAAATTTCCCAGAAAAATTTGAGTTTTTTCTTTATTTTTGTTACGCCCACCACTGCCTTAAAATCTCCAAAAATAAGATACCGTATTCCTGCAAATAAGTGCCCCATTTGAATAAGCGTCCCTCTTGAGTAAGCGCCCCTCCTAACGTGAAAATGTTGTTCAGTGCCCGTTTGAATAAGTGCCCCTCAACAATATCATGTGATTTTTTTTTCTTTCTGTCAATTTCTGAATGATGATATTTCTCATGGCCTAATGGGAGTTCCCTGGACAGTATCTTTACATCTTTCCTCTTCTTATTTGTCTAGCCCTACTTCTCTTTTTCTTTTCTCGACAATTTGTACCAATTAAAATACGTTCTCATCCGAGTTTGCAAGAAACCGTGCAATGATAATGCTAATCTCATTTGGCAAATGGCCAACAAGCTTACCACCTCCACCACTATCAGTGGCATATCTAGAAGTCTTGAAGTATTCAAAAAATGCCCTGTGAATTTTCAATGTTTCCATAAGAATCCACTCAATTTCCATCAATTTCCACTCTGTTTGAATAAGCACCCCTCAAAAAGTGCACAAAATTATTTAAGTGCCCGGGTTTCTTCCTATTTAATAATTATATAAATTTAAAGCATTTAACCATACCATTATTACACTGTTTACATTCAACAATAACATTTTATTTTTAATTGCTCCTCTGTCGGGATGTTTTTGGCAAACTATTTGCTTAACAAAAAAAACAAAATTTTATTTAAATTTTTTTCCACCCACGTCTGACGATCTTTAAAAATAAGTTTGTCAAACAAGGAATAAAAAGCATCTTGCCTAAATTACCAATTAAGTTCTTTTATTTCTTCTCACTTTATGAAATGCTGTTTCTGCAAATTTTAACCATTTCTGACATCATATCATGACAGAAAATTGTATTGATTTCTTTAAAATGTGAAACCGATCAATGATTATTGGTAAATTAGTGCACAGAGGCAGACAAGAAGATGGCGTTAGAGGTCAAATGATCTTGTCACGATCGGATTAATTTATGATTTGTTACAGGTTGCTATAGCAATGTTTGGTTACATGACAGAAATTGATAAGGTGGAAATCAAGCAAACTCAGTCTATTGAAGCTGAAGGTAAGTTTTTGATTTTATTTATTTAATGATCCTATATAAAAAATAGGATCCCAGTCGGAACATGTGTCTACTGCTTGTTTTTTTTTTGTTTTTTTTGCTATGCTTCTTGTGTTGGCAAGTTTAGTTCATGACCCATATCATCATTCATCCGCCGGATTTATTCTACATGAAATATTTCGTGGTGTGAAGGATTATCTAGTCTATTATTTTACCTTTCACTATAAAATTACCATATCAATTGATATTATACAAAACCCACCCCTGTACAACATTCAAAACAAAGAATAAAAGCTAGGCCCAATTCAAATTCGAAAAATGACATGTTATAAAGAAGCTTGTATGACTAATTTACCACCTATATATTCTTAATGTGTCATCTACTATATGCTGTACTTTTTCAACCTAAAACAATCTGTGAAAACATTGTCAACATTTGTGTAAAACGATTGCAATTACGTTAAATACCCTGAATGAAAACTTGGTTCCACCTAGTTAAACAGAATAACCATTTTTTGCATGTACAGTACATATACTAACCACGATCTTAACATATCAAACCTTTTTTTATCTTATATCTTTTTGGAATAAATCAATTTTGATGAAAAGGTATGCCAGGTTGTTTTAGCTAAATCTTTTAAGAAAAAACACATTTTCTTTTATTATAGTATGGGTGACCTTTTCTCTTCTTTTGTTTTTCGATACAATTCTTCATTATTAGAAGTGAAGATTTTATATAGCCAAAGCTATTGATTTTAATTTAGTACCACTTTTTGTGATGTGAAATGTTGTGGGGATCAGGTTTGCAAAGTTGTTGATTGTGAGGTCAAGCATTTCAAATACTTCCTTGTCTGTAATAGTACTTGGTAATTTTCTGTTAGTAAATTAATTTCCAATCTGTAGAGAAAGAGATGAAATTTCAAATGAAACGTTTGGTGTAGTAAAGTGAAGTAGTTTGTCATAGGCATAGGACTAATTTTTAAACTTTTTTTCTTTCATGCGTGGAACGTATTGTTGGTGAAATTATGCCAGTAGAGTGAGATAGGATTGCATGAATCACAAGTTGGCTAATCGTATACACATACGAGTTTCTGTTTAATATTGAGAGAATATTAGGCTTCTAAAGGCATATTGTAATATTAATAAGTATACAGGGTTAAGATTTGAAATACAGTAGTGTAGGACTTTCTACTAATTCAGAATCTATGAGAGCACTTGCAGGAACACTGCTTTCACTTACCTGCATGGTTGCAGGATAGCTTGTGCTTGGCACCAAAGCCAACTGTTCCATCTTCTATTTGAGGCTGATCTCTTTTGGGGGAGAATAGGCAATTAGTTGGTTTATCCAGGTATTTATTTATCCACTCATAGACTGCCGACATTACTTCTGATTTGTGTGATCTAAAAAAATTCTTTAATTTATCTGTAGTGCCCTGTTAGTGTTACAAATATTTTATTTATTGTATTTTTTTATTCACACAAAATCAAAACAATATGGGGCCCTTGAAACTTAATCAGATCTTAGTATGAAGCTTGTAAATTGTAGTTTATCTTATAATTATTGTTAGTAATAAGTTATTATTGCTATTATTATTATTATTATTGTTATTTACTTTGTTTTCAATATCTTTACAGGTGATGACGTGTTGTCGTTACTCTTCCATTTTTTAGATGAATTCTTGTTTCTATTTTCTGCTGATCCATTTTTTATACCGAGGGTAAGCCTTGTCATATTTATATTGTCATGTACTTTCAATACACTTCTTATAATATTAAATGTTCAGTTATATTTACACTCTGCAAAAACTTCAAAATGCTGCAGCCAGACTTTTAAAGCTCATATATCCACACCTCCCCTTATAACAATAATAATGGTCGACTTATAGAGCGCATATCATAGAGACCTCTATGCGCTACTAAGCATGGTTTAGCCGTTGGCTCCGAGGAGTAAACTCCATTGCAGTGGCGGTTCAAAGGGGGTGGGAGGGGCTACTGGGTCCTGGCTTACAAAATGCATACTAACCTACCTAGGCTTAGCCTACCTAGCCTTCCAAAAAAAAAGAGGAGGAAAACCTTGAATTTTGTAGAACTTAAAAGGTCATTAAAAGACCTCAAAGTCGGGAAACCTCATTTCTGCCCATCTAGAAAACAAAAGGACCCCGGACCTTCCTTTCAATTTGGGTTATTTTAAAACATTTTGGACCCCCTCTTTTAAACCCTGGATCTTCCCCTGCATTGGTTACAAGTCCAGCAAGGAATTAAATTCAAATTACCCTTATAGCATGGACTTATTAATAGGTCCATGCTTATAGTCTGCAAATTTCTTTCAGGCATATGCCCATCATATCTAAATTTGTATCTGAAAACACACATACAAATTTGCGATCAACTCAATAGGCCTCCACAACACATCTTGTCAGACTATTGTTCCATAAAGCGTATTGGCGACAATTTCCCATCTGCAGCGGCTCCACTTTGGCATATCCTGCCGCCTCCCATTAGAAACTTCCACGCTGTCAGACAGTTTAAGGCAAGCCTTAAAACCTGTCTTTTCAACTAAGTTTATTCCATACATGTCTTAAGATTAATATCTGTTGAAACCATTTTTGATATATTTATCTGCCTTTTATTGCAAAATGTATATAAAGTTATACTTTATTATTTATAATGCTAAAAATATATTTACAGAAAGTACAAATAGTTGAATTTGATATGAAAAACTTTAAAATACAAGCAATTGGGTAAGTAAAGTAGTTACTTATTTTTTCAAAATTGTTTTCACTCTGTATTGTTATTATGACATGTGTTTAGTGCATAACACCAGTGTCTCATAGCTTCTCCAGTCATTAGAAAGCAGCTTGGTTAACTGGTGGTAGCTACTGCGTGTGCGCTGAATTGCGCAGATCTTAACACATCCATGGTACCTGTTTATATTCCATTGCTGCTCTTTGTGTTTCAGTAGAGGGCTAAAATACATATTCAGTACAGCTCTTGTGTGTGTATTAGATTGGATTAGATTTCTTTGGTGTAAAATACACTAAGGATAACCCACGAAAGTTGGAAGACATTTTGCCAGTCAGATCCTTCTGGTGGTGAACTGGGCAGTGCCCAGGAATAAAATCTTACACAGCTTAAACATCTCATCCAAAGTATAGTGGAGCCGACTGAGTTAATATGCTCTCTACATACAGATTCAATCATACACAAACACTGCATCCACAAGAGAATCTACCAATCCATGTCCCCTAACATTTCTTTATGTTGCCACCATTGATCAGTATATATCTCCATTTGACCATTGCAGATTTGGTGAGACTTTCGACCTTTGTAAGCATCCCCAGGTAGGTGTACTGTAATAACAAGAGTAAATGGTTGTATTTATTATTTTCATTATTGTATTCTAAGCTGATGCATGTGCCATTTCAATCAATAATAATTTTAAAAAAAAACAAAACAGATCCATTTTAAGGATCAAGATAAAAAAAAATCTGCAATGGCATGTAAACCTGAATCTTTTTTCTTTTTGTTATTTCAGGGAACAGAAGTCAAGGCAATCACATATTCAAATATGCAAGTTCATGAAGATCGCCCAACCAATGACATATATGTCATTATTGATATTTAGAAATTTTCTCCAATGAACTAGTTTTAAGACCAAGAAAAGGTGCGGCTGCACTAACACTGAATGTCAACTTGGGGGTGGGGGTGTGTGGATGTTCACACCCACCTTATCCTCGCCATGATCGGTGAGCAAATTTTAGATGCCTGGAAATATTTTCCTCCTTCGAACAATCTTTTAGCTGTGAAGCAAATGAAAATGTCCTTTAACACTACAGACACCCCCTATTCAAACTGGCCCCAAAATAATTATGGGGAATGTGGCATCCTATTATATTCTGTGTAATAGAGGCCCTACAATGGTGCATCCATTTCCCTGTATTATTTAGCATTGATACTAATGACTGTAGATTACAAATTAAGTATGCGGATGACAGTGTCATCATCAACTAATTAAAGGCGGTCAGTTAGGGAGTAATTAAATACAGTAGTTTACTGCACATACAGTGCACCATCCAATTCCAAGACCCTTTTCCAAAGACCCAAATAACCTTCAACCTTTTAACACAAAGCTAGCCCTCTAATTGGAGACCAACCCCAAGACCACCGGCCCCAAAGGTGGTCTCGAATTGGAGGGCTAACTGTATTCTTACAGCATAAAATTTATACTACTGTATATAAAAAAATCGTCTTCAAGGCTAGGCCTATATCATCCTAGCTAGTCTAGGCCTAGAGTAGGATAAGGCTAGCGTGACATGCGGACGTTGGTACGAGTAGGTTAGTCTACAAAAGTAATTGATTTTACCCGACAGAACGAAAGAAGGAAACCCCACTTTTCAGCCGTCTTAGGCACTCGTTTTTTGACAATGACCTTTCAGAGGTCATTGTCTTTGCTGTCAAAAATATGAATTGGCTGTTTCGCAGCAATTATAAAGAAAATATTTTATCAATAAAAAAGCATTCCAACAACAAAAAAGAAAAGTGTACTAGTTTTAACTGATGATTATTTTTCTTTATTTTTGTTTTTCACGAAAGCCTTAAAAGAAAGAGCAATATACAATTATATATACACTTTACAAGCAAGCCAACATTCTTCATCATCACAATACCAAAAATGTAAAAACATGCTTGGAAGAAGTCAAAGATTGTTATCAAATAAAGTTTACAATTGGAATTTTGTAATATTAGAATTAATAATTTAATTTTATTAATTTTCTTCCTAATGCACATATTGTTCAGAGTGGTTAAACTTCTAGAAGCTAGCTGGTAGATTTGTTAATATCAATATCCAAATGCCTCGGAAGAATTAACATGGGACAGCATTTGGACATTTCCAAAATATATGTTGGGATACAGATACTGCAAACAAGGTTTTTTTTTTTAGCCTTTGCCAAATTATTTTTCCGGCTTTTGATATACATTTATCTTATTGTTTTTCATGATACTTCCCACTAAGCTGTAGTACTTGTCATTACATAAGAAATTACTGTTTAACTGCAGTATATCACTTTGGTTTGCTCAAATACTTGTTCATTACGAATTGTTGGCTATCATAAGTACCGTACTATTAAATAGCATAAAATATAGCACCTGAATTTTTATTCTGCTTAATGTTTGGAAGTTAATGATGTCAGACCATATATCTATGTAGTCATATTTTAAAGATATACAATCTGTCATACGAAATTCAAGTAAAACACTCAATAGCTCATATTTTAAAACCATATTTTACTTCCAATGAATGACAGATTTCAACAAATTTATTTATAAATTAGTAAATTGATTACTGTACTAATCAATTTAAGGTCCTATGGAGAGGCTACACAAAAACAATATTTTTCTCATTTTAAATTTGAGTTAAATGCTATTAACTTACCAAAGTAAGCAATTTAAATTTATTTTTAAACATTTTTTTTTAGCTCAAGACAGTAGACACTGCAAGTGTTTGATACCTTATTACGTGCAACAGTAATAAATAGTGCTGTCAACATTACTAGTGTAGCGCATCTATAGTCAAATGGCCAATACAGCCTCAATTGACAGTACCATCAAATATCACAACCAATTAAGATATGTAGATATTTTAAGGGCTTTAATCCTTGACAATCAAAAACAATCAAACAATCATATCAAACAATAAATAGAAAATGAGGCACTGTTAACTTGGGCAATCAACTATTGCTAATCATTGCACAACTGTTAACCTGCAACATAAAGCACCAACTTGCCAGACACATGACTCTCCACGGTCACATGAGCTACGGCGGTACCCTTATGCGACCGACATAAATGCTAGAACATGTAACGATCAGATTAAACAATACAACAAATTATGTTTTCCTTTAATATAAATTATATCATGTAATAATAATACTAATGATTTAAAAACATCAGTAGAAGGAAAAAAATTATGTAAAATTTACTTTTTACAAAAAATATGGAGACTGCAACCTTACAAAAAATTGTACACGTTCAAAAATTCCATGCCTACAAAGATTCTAGATTATTTTAAATTTTTTGATGTGCCAGGCGCAAAATACAATAAAATTGATGATGTATACATATCAGTGATAGTTTTTAAAAGGTTGCAATACCACCTTAAGAATATTTTCTAGCTAATAGGTCTACCAAAATTTAAAAAAATCTGCGTATGTTGTGTTATTAACTACCGAGTACAAAGACCATATGGGTTCATCTACAAATACTGATCAAAGTAAATAAAAAAATTAATGGCCAGTTATTAAATCAGTTCAGAGAAACTGACTGGAATCTATATTACCTAATCATTCACTTTGGCAACAGCTAAAAGTTACTAATGATTCCATGCTCTGTGTTTGTTGTCCAGTTAGTATTTTATCAGCCACACTAACAAGCCGCTTGTAGACATTCTGTAATTGTCACCTAGCTGCCTGGGTACTCCATCCAGGTATCATATCCTCTGGATGGCTCTCTTCTAGTCACCTACTGAGGCTGTGTGTGTCGCGACTATTGATTGAGTTAACACGTTTACTTGGAGGTAGAGCTTGGAAGTACGGGTGATTGAGCGCCTCGCCAAGTGTGATTCTCTTCTCCGGATCATAGGTTAGCATTTTTTCAAGGAGATCAAAGAAGTTGTGGTGGTCGACAAGATCCTCAGTTCTGTAGCGACTTAACTGTTTGCAATTATCCCTTACATAACGTCCTGAGGAACTGTTCTCGTCCCAGTCTACTCGTCCATGGTAGAAATATTTACTTTTTCTATAACCACATAAAAATATAATATTAACAGAACTACGCTAATTTTATTCAATGTTGATAAAAATTGCAATATACAAAATAAATTGGGAGGAAATAAATTGAAATGATTTTTGTCTATTCATTTATTCTAAAAATAACCATTTTATTTCACCATATTAAACTACAAGTGGATTCACAGTCTAATAAATGGTTTAACTCAATTAAACAACTTTCCTGTTAACTTTCTATTATCTAATATCACTTCCTGATAGAGGCATGTCAACAAATTAAAAGAGCAATATATCTGAAACTTACCTTGTTTTTTTAATCATCCAAGCAGGCATGGGACCCAGTATAACCTCCATCATGGATAAGTGTTCTCTGTTGTCATGAGTCTGCAAAGAAACAAGTTTCAATACACAGTAATTTATTTGTACACATTTTTTTTTTTTGCCATAGAATACTCTGACGTAGGCTATAGACTTTGCGTGACCCACGCCAAACCACAAGGCTAGGAATGTGAATATAAACCTCTGTGCCAAAGTACCTTCCTAAATTTGGGAATTTTAAATTATCACATACAATTACAAAATAATAGTAAAAAATTAAGATAAACAGATAATCGACTGATTCACTGCTATGCAAATTTGGCATGTTGAAAACTAATTTGAACAACTCCACTCACTAAGCATTATACTGCAAACTTATTTATAGCACAACATAAAAGAGCTTCAATTTTAATTGTTTATATAAGAATAGAGTACTGATATCATTATTTCATTGTGATGGTATCTTACAGTATTCATTATTCCTGTCCAACTCCTAACGTATGGAAGCTTAATTACCTGCATGTAGGCAACCTACTAAGGCCTCATCTAATCATCATGCCAACAGGCAGTGCTGACATTAACAATTTATAGAATTTTGCTTTAGAATTATTAATGAGACTTTTAAATACCTGAAAGAGTGTGAAGCCAGTATACAATTCAAACATGATACACCCAATGCTCCATACATCACATGGCTGGGCCCATCCAAGCTCTGAAATAGAAAACCTCATGAATCACTTATGGCTAGCCATACGCAAATATGCCAGACCCTATTAATCATTTCAATAGGCCATTGCCAATTTTTACTAAGTTACTAATAATATAATTAAATATAAATCCATTCACATAAATGATAACTTCATTGTCTCTTAGACTTAAAACTTGACTACATTCTGAATACAGATCCGTATTTGCAATGTAATTTTTTTTTAATTCAATTATGTATTGCAAGTAATTGTTATTTATTAAAGAAAGCTATACTGTCTAACTATAAACTTATAAATTCACAATTTAATGCAAGGTTTCAACTGAAAATTAGAACTATATAATTGTTCCCTTGTTAATTATTGTTTTAGTTCTTTTATTTTAGCAGACTACAGACCAATTTTTAATTGATTTATTTAGTGATTTGAAATTTCACAACAGTATATAAACATCACAATCATGTCTGCAAGTTATAGGAATACAATGATCGACAAAACATTTAACACAAAAAAATTGGTAACAGCAGTAACACATGACAGGCAATATCAATGTTATTGTTACAATTGATTAATGGTAATATTATTGCATTTGAAAATTCTTCAATTGATTACCAGCCAAATTAAGTTTGGTTTCCATAAAAATTACTACACGCCACCGCAGACTCCTTTGGCAACACTGATTGGTCTGTTAAATCAAAGAGTGTTCCTGATTGTGTTGGGGACCACTACGAAGTGCAAGGATTGCATTGAAAACGCTGTAGTGACTGTATGGAAACCAAGCTTTAAGGGTCCGAGTAAAAGAATATGAAAACCGTACTAATGTGTTGGTTAATGGGCTAATAACAAACTGAAAGCTATTGAGGTACTGAAATAAGTTATATAACACTAATTTTAAAAATTCAGTAAAATAGATTATGCAAAAAAATTATGTTAAATTCACTTTAATATCACTCTAATATTTTGAATTTGGTTCAAACAGGTATAATTAGAAGACGATGTTTATTATACTTACCAAGTATAACTTCCAATGCCCTGTAATGTCTAGTTGATACAATACTACTATGATGTTCATGATCAAACGTAGCAGAACCAAAGTCAATTAGTTTAATGTCAGACATCTTAACCACCTTGTCTTCTATATACTATGCCAAAAATAATAAGATTATTAATAAACAAGTTTAAGTAGGCCAAAAAACTTACCACACTCTTTGTATATTACAATTCAGTGTCAGTTAACTTGCGTATTGTGTTTTAATGAATACACTGGACTAGCACAGCTCAACTCATTTAAATTTCTAATGTTTTATACTGTAACATATTACCATAGCATCGCAGAATACAAAATATGATTTGGGATATACATAGAGAATAACATTCTTGGAATTTACATATCAGTTGATGAATGATTAAAGGGACAATGCAATGCAAGTCCAGTTAAAGGGACCAGGTAGACTATAATTCTCTTAACGGAAGAAGGTAATAATATAATAATAATGAACTCTCTCCTCCCCCTCCTTAAATGGAGTGGTAACATAAGGTAGACTACATCCTCTCGAAGAATTATTTAGCACAGTTATCAGATTATAATATCTTGACATTTCTTGGGAATTAAGTTATGCACAATGCCATATGTTGTCAGGACTGGAAAAATTGCACAACTGCATGGCAGTCGGTAGGAGGCATTGCGCATACCCCTAGAGGCATTTTTCAAAAATCACCCATGTTGGACTATGTACATTACAAAAACATTTTTCCATGCCTGTATGTTGCATGCAAGATCTTTCCTCAATTTGTCTTCTAATGTGCAGAATGTTTGTAATGAGAGATTTGCTAATACCATTATATTTGACTCCGCATTATATGTGGGTGTATTGGTTTTATGAGTCTACAGAGGTAATACAGAACAGAGCACACTTACATGTGATGGTCTCAAAGATAAATGCATTATAAAGTTTACCCACAACTAAGTCTACATTCTATTAAGTTCACACATATATAGGATTTTTGTACTATTACATTTGTTTTGCTACATGAATTAGCTAAAAAAATATATACCTGATCATGTGGGATATAATCAATAGAAAACATGGATCATTGCCTAATAATGATGTGTTGTCACGTCGAAACACATCATGTTTGAAAATTATAAAACACACCTTTATGTTTAGCATTACTTTGAGTATAATTGTTTTATACATACATTAAGGGAAGCAACAATTATGTATACCTTGGGGTTCATAGTGAAGGTTATTTTAATGTATTTTCATTTGATTTATTTCATCAAACATTACAAACTAAAACAGACAAAAAATCAAAGAGGATTAACAAAACCAAACTAAATTGCCGTACAAAGTTTCTCCACTGATTGCTCATGGATTATGCCAGTATACAATATGTAGAGCACTTAATATGTTCCTTTGTTTTCCTAATAAGAAAATATTTGAGAACAATAAATGTACCATTGAACTTCCTTTAATGGATTAAGTAAACGTATTGTAAGAATGAATATAAACAGCTAATGCCTACCTTCTGTCCATTTACTCTGAAATCTGAATCCACAAAGAGTACATTCTCTGGTTTTAAATCTGTGTGCGTTAATTTCATATCATGCATAACTGTAAAGAAAGGAAAAATCATATTAACCATACTATTTACCACCACTGCTAATTACATGGTACATGTTAAACAATGAATAGACAAATAGATACTACATGGTATTGTGTTCAAAATATCATGTGACACATATTTGCAACATAACATTATTAAGTGCAACCAATTTATAAGTTTTAAGATGTATGTTAATGTATTAATATGATTTTGTAATTTATAATTTAGTCCAGTTTAACCTTTGCTAACCGTGATGACATTACAATTAAACTTTCTTCAGTTGTCTATACAATTTCTCAATAATGCAATTAATTTAGTGGAAGTGTCAAGTCTTTCAAATGATAAATTGCACTGCTTATGTTCTTGGGTAAGGCAATTGTTTTTTAATGTGCGTCTCTTCACCCGTAAGTATCAGCCCATGAAATTTGGAAAAAATTAAGGTCGGCAAAAATTTGCCGACCTTAACTTCTCCAAGATTCGGCAGTCTCGGCAATTTTCTACTACCTAGGTCTATAGTATGCATTACGATTTTTCCGAACGCTTGAAATTACATCGTCAACTACAGATTGTGATTTTGTTAATTATCTCTATTAAATCAATATATTGTTGGTGAAAGGATGGTTTTACTTGTATCATCTTATTAGTGTAGTATAACATATGTGGCAAAGACAAGCCAAACCAGTCACTCGTCGCAAAAATTGATTTTTAGTTATTAATACAATGGTAAAAAGTAAAATGAGAGAGCCTATAAAATGGTAAAAGAATCATTTAAATCTGTTGTTTCATTATGAAGTTACTATTACGGCTTGAGTACACGTCGCTGCGGACGTTTCATACTTTACTTGTATGTTCAATTCATGTATCATGTTGCCTCTCATAACGAGGTCACATCACTGTGTTGTTTTGCCGAAAATGGACAGTCATCAACCAATTCTTTCGTCAACCTAAATTCATTCCAAAGGCATAATCGCAGATAGACATATGTTGATATATCGTTCATTTTATTTAGTAACTGTTTAAGAACCAATGCTATGTAGCATGGGATTTAGTTATGCCCGGTTTATTGTAAATTAGTAGTTTTTTGTAACAAGTTCCAACACCGTATTAATTTGACATTGCATGCCTAGGCTTAAGCTTACCATATGTCAAGCGTTGGGATTGTGATCGCCCTGAATACATTTTAATCTTTAGTATGGGGCTTATATTGGTTAAATTATGCCAACTGTTACGATTATCAGAAAGTGAATTATCTTAGATTTTCACTGTGTTTTAAGATGTAGTTTAGTTATAATCGGTTATAATGACATGTTATTGTTTGCATCGCTAACCACAAATGATGAGACCATGCTTCATGTTATGTCTGAACATGCCCGTTCTGCTTGAGTAGGCTCCGTAAGTGTGCAGTCTCAGAACACTGTTGATAACTATAATAGCCAAAACTGTTGAAGGGTACATGAATAACTTGTTTTTATGTGGATTTGTGTTATATGCCAATGTTTTATTAGGAGTGAGTAATATAGGTCATTCAATTACATATATATGTTGTTGGAATAATTGGATATTCCAAATGTTAATTCTGGATCTTTTTTGTTGTGAGTTTCTGTTAATGTGCCTTGCTGTATAATTTGTGACTTGGAGGTCACATTTACAAGCGTTTAAACATACAGCTGTTTAAAGAACAATATCTGAGAAATCAGCCTTCAAAGTTTAGGATTTTGGGCATTTCTCAGGCAGAAACCATTACCAAATTGTTAAAAACTGTTGTTTTAACATTGAAAATGGGGAAAACAACAGCATATCATGATGTATAGATATATAAAGTTTAGTTTAGTGCAATAAAATAGATTTCACAAATTTTGACATTTCAGCATGTTTTGGCCATTATCTCTGAAACATGATTTGCGACGAGTGACTGGTTTGGCTTGTCTTTGCCACGTTTTCGAAGAAATGTCGTTCTAGCGTTATCTTTGGGAAATGTTAGCATGGGAAATATCACTTTCATAAGCAACGATCGTATAATCACAGGCTGTCTGTGCTTCAAAGCTGTCCATGCGCATGCTCAGAACGATCTATCTGGGATTTTCCACACATGTACACATGTACACATGTACTTGTTTAAACGGACGGTAGGATTGGGCCTACAATATGTTTAAGGCCTTGGCTGGCTAGCCTCACTCCTACCTAGGGGCCTAACCTAAGAAATGACTAGGCCTTGCTAGGCGAGAAAGACAGGACGATTGTACACATGTTGTATGTATGCCTATTAAAGATAATTATTGTTGGTTAATAATGTTCTTGGTTTGATAATGTACGTGAAATTTAGTTTCTGCTATAGTCTGTTTCAGTTAAAGTTTTGACTTTCTGAGCAGTTTTTGAAGCAAAGAAATCCAGGCCTAGTTCTACAGAAAATTGCCGTCCTGTGGCAATTCTGGCTCGGCAATATGGTCATAAATTGCCGATTGCCAATGTGAAAGTATAAATGGGTAACTAGAATGAAACTGGTCTGTGCTATATTGACAATGTGGCCAGAAATGAGAAATGAAATGAGGCCTTGTACATTAACCCTAAATATAATTTGACAATTGGCCTGAATCATGGGCAGTGAACCACAGTGGGGTCAAAAGGACAAGCAACTATATAATAATAGTAAAATGTTACTGTGTATTACAGTTACCTGCTCCTTCACATAAATATCCAAATATATCATTTAACACTACAATGTCTGTAAATTATAACATTTATATAATTGTAAGTTTTCAGTAAATTATCTTGTTGGCTTGGCAATACCCCTGAACTATTCTGACATTTCTATTATTTTTAGAAAATAGTGTTTATATCAAGAATAAATAATGGATTACCAACCTATCATTTTCTTTAAATTTACCTTTGTAAAAGTTCATTGTTATAAAGAATAATTAATATTCCCAAGTTTCGTTCATGGACATCAAAAGTTACAACCATCATAAAACATGACCTCATTTGTAGAGTACTTTCTGGCTAGGGACCAAAAATTCTAACCCTGGTAATCTTATCAACCAAACATCTACACAAAGGCCCACCTATTTACATGCATAAAAAGTACAAAGTAGTACCTATCTAAGAATTCTTTTGGATTAATTTTATTGTATTATTGTCAATTCATGCTATTTTGAGTGATAAATAGCAACCACCTCCAGCAGCAAGTAGTGAGATTGCTGTATTATAGTGGGAAGAATATGAATAAAAGCAATGACTTACATTTGACTGCATAGCATAGCTGATAGGATATATGGCATATTTGGTCCATTGGGTAAGGTGAATAGTTATTGTCCTTCTGTAGATTTAAAAAAATTATGTATTACTTTAGCAACATTGTATTTAAATTCTTGCCTAACAACTGGCTAACTCACAAACAATAGAAAATTGTGTGTTTCATTGTATAAAAATTTAAGCGAAAAAATCCTGTAGACTACTAGATTTAAACACGGAATGTTGGTATTGGAATGGGCATTTCAACCATTAAGCAATATGGCTTTGTAAGTATAATTCTGAATTTAATTACAATGCATTCTCATTAACTACCTCCATTAATAGCTTAAAAGAAAATACTGGCAATGCTGCTGCTGAAAGAAAGGCAAGGTGGAATTGGAATTGATTTTTGCAAAGTAGGTAATGCATGCTTGGTAGATTAAATGGTATGTTTTTGAAAAGGAAATCCGATTGGGACAAAAGGCGAAAAGGCAGTGTTGTAGAAATATAAGGTAAATATTCGATGTCAAGAATCATTATTTTAAAAAATATTCATAGCTAAATCAATTTTTTTTCATGTAAATTAATTTTTAATGTATTCACTTTTAGATCCAGGGTTAGTAGAATAATGAAAAGGAAAAAACATAGACAAACAATACCTCTTTAAAGATGTTTCCAAATTTATAATTTTTAATATTTTATATCAATTTCTGAAGATGTTCAAATAAACAAAATATTAAATATGGCTTTGCTACCCTTGAAGGAATAATCATATCACAATCAAAACATTACTAATACTATTTTTTTTTTGAAGTACATATTATTAGATTTATTATTATTACTTATGTTACTAGGCCTAAAGCGATTGTGCAAGATCATTACTGTATCACTTTCCAAATACACCACATGGCTTTCCACATAACTTAAATATTATGTAGCTGATATTGGCTAGCACTCACCAAAAAGTCAAATATACTTTGACCAAGCATCTCAAACGCAAGGCACATATGGCCATGGTAATCAAACCAGTCAATCATCTTCACACAGAGACTAAAAAAAGAAAACATATGTTGATCATTATAAGCTACAATCTTGTTACTGTACTGCAGGTTTTCTTTTTTCAAGAAGGGTCAGTACTCAATTTTAGTACACTGTAACACCTAACCTTTCCAGCTATTTTTGAATATCAGCTGAAATGAAATTTGTAATGAAAATAATACTATAATTTATATAATTTATGCTGCTATTTGGTATCAGAAGGCCTACAAAACAAAACAAAACCCATCATTTTTTGTTTAAAAATTAATGCTATAATTTTGATATACTTATGATATTACTCAGTACCACAATAAGGCTTAAAGAACAAAAAAAATAACCTATCATTCTTCAATGCCATTTAAGCTATATGAACTACTGAAAGGCCTTTAGAATTAAGATTTCAGTACAGGAACTGGAATCTGCAACATAATTATTGTCATGACATTTCTTGTATCACATGCTTACAACATATGGTCAGACCCCAAGGGACATACCAATGCAAATTATTATTATTCAACAGCAAATACTAAACACACATCTTTTAGTTATTTTTACAGCATGAAGTTTAACAATTTACCAGATTTTACATTCTCTGTACGGATACACATTTAAATGCTGTTGGGATAGTATATAATGCCTCAATAATATTATTTAAATAAACAATATTTACTTCAGTGACAACAGAAACCACATATGAATGAATAAAATTTAGCTCATGATGACAGTATTTTTATTTCTCATCTGTGATTAGCATGTTGGTCTTTTAAAATTTCATTAAAAACATTAAACACAAAATTTGTTAAATCTAATAAAAGTTGGATAATAAAGTAAAACCTAACAAGTACTGTATGTCTACTACTTCAATAATGTTTGATTACAAAACAACCAATATTACAGAATTATCAGTGCCAAGAATATCACTAATCGGTCACATCTACATGTTTTTTTTAAATATTACGATTGACTGAAACATATAATCAATGTACAGATTAACATCACAGATGAATTTAGATTCATATTGTATTACTAAATAATCAGGTTCTCATAATCAGGTTCTCATAATAATAATAACACTTCAACTTACTGTTTCCCTGTCGGATCTCTTTCATTCAGTTTTTCTAGCACGTTTATCTCCAACTTCGCTGCCTCTCTGTATTTGTCGATGTTCTTTATTATCTTCAAAGCTATTCGCTCCCCTCTAGGACAAAAAAAAAAGGGAAAAAAAGAGACAATAACAAGAAAACTGAAGCTTTAAATTGTAAGAGAAAATTTCAATAAATGCTGACAAAAAAATTCAAAAAAACTATTTTTACACAAATTTAAAATTATATTTTTCACTAAATTTTATCTATTCCACAATTAAAATGGTTTAAGTTCATAGTAGTTGCAGATTGTAATCCTCAATTTAGATTTATTCCCTAGAGAGGAAAATATTCATTTTCCACGAGACAAATGTCAAATCTGATTTAAAAAGATTTATGATAACTGTTCAGAGTCATTTTCTCCTAATATATCATTTATTTTTTTTATAAAATTATTTTTAATGCAGAAACAAAATCAATTAATTAATATTACATTTCAATTTTAATAATGCTGTTTTCTCTTGTATTTTTGATGTTGAAATTATAATAAATTAAAAGGCTAGATCAATGTAACAAGCCTACCTTTGTGTATCTTTACATTCTACAACTTTTCCAAACGTTCCTTCACCTAGGGTGCTTTTCACTTCATCTGAAAATTAACCACATTATCAAGCATTAGAAATATCCTTGTACATACGAGACGAAAATCCAAGACTTGACACAGAAAACCCAGGGGTGATCGCATATTACAGCAAAAAAATAATGCACCATTACCAAGCTACAAGGGTTTGAATGAGGGAAGATCATCTTATTCAGACTACTTCACACCCCTCATGCAAGCTTCAAAACAAATACACACTTTTCATTTCTCTCGAAGCAAAGTAGGAAGGTTGGCAAAAGTCACGCAATATCATAATGCAAAGCATGGAGACAATAATGAGAAAGTATTTTAAAATCAAATTCTACAAAAGGAATGACTGCCTCACCTAGACAGGCAGACTCACTATGATATTCACTGCCTAACCTAGGAAGGCAGAAAACTCACTACAATATGTTTTATAGTACTGTATAGAAAATCATACGTGGAAGCCTAAAGAATGATTATACTTTACAATAATTGCAGATTATATGGATATTGAAAGAAAAACAAATGTGCAAAGAATATAATAAATATACAAAATATTTTAGGAGTGGAAGGTATTATTCATTTAAAAATTTTTTTGTGTGTTGAAAATGTGTGGGAATTTGTTGACATTCCTAAATGGTTAAAACGTTACGGAATATTTGTATGTACATCTTGCTTGCAACCAGTCTCCTGGCCGGTAGATCAGATGTCCTTCTTCATCATCTACTACGATACTACTGCGCTTGTCGTCTTTGCAACTTCTCTACAGTGGTTCAATTCGATGCGTGTAGTGTAGCAGTAAGGGTTAGAGTTGCCAACAGCCGGCCAAGTTGAGTACCAAACAGTGCAGCACGAATGTTAACCGGTGATGAGGAGGATGGTGGTTGTAGTTGTTGTGAGACGAGATCGGTACCAGCAGGTTTCACAGTGGACGATGATGTACAGATAGCAAGCCAAGACACGAATTCCCACACAATAGCAGTTGTACATAATGAGGGATCAAACGGCAACGAAATATCATTGGCAATACTTCCTTACAAAATATATGGTATGTTACAAGGGAAACAAACCACTGTATGCCTCAACAACTCGCAACTAGTCTCCGTCACAACACTCAAAAATAAATGAATGTGCCTCATGCAAACACATTCATTAAAACAAAAAACCCTTAAGGGGAATGTACCATTCTCAATTACTATTGTCACACTCTATACTTACCTTACAATAAACAGCATTTCATCAATAAATGTATTTAATCAAAGAATTTTAAAGTTTGAATACAGATAAAAAAAAAATTAATATTATCTGTAGTCGCAATGTAGTTGCAATTGTGAAATGTAGAAATTGGTTAAAAACAATCCTAAACTCATTGCAAATACAAATATTTTTCTTTTACTTTCTCTAAGATCATAGCAAGAAACTAATGCTTTAATTCGGATTTCAGAATAAATGTGTTTTCAATGTGGAGGGGAAATCCTGTACAAATTTAGAGTATTGTATCAATTATATCTAATAACCAACTACGTCACAATTTGCAACATAAGAACTTCAATAAGAAATACAACATTATTACCAGCAAGCATTGCAATAACAAATTACTGTAGATGTTTTGGAAGACTATATCGACTGCTCTATTCTACAGTATGTGAACAAAACACTATCAAGTAGAACAACAATACTAAGTACAACTCTTGAAATTGTTTTCCATTGAAATTTAATTCTTAAGCTGTTTTGAAATTCCAAGTCATGTAGAACCTGTCAAAAACAACTACAGCGCCGCGAGCATCTCTCCATGGATAGACATTTGCACTGTATGAATAGCCCACAGATTATATTTAATATACACAGAGAATTAAGGTAAATATTCCTTTTTTCAAATAAAAAAAAAGAGCTATTTTGAATTCTAAATCGTAACGAACCAGTGAATAACAACTACAGTGCCTCTCCATTTGCACTATATAAATAGCACTATATAAATAGCCAACTGATCGATATTTAACAGAATAGAAATATTTGGCATATTTTTTCAGATAATAAAATTATTTTTTGTTAGTCTATTTTCTCAGCGCAATACAAAAATAAAATGAGGGCGATATACTGTACTAAGTTTAAGAAAATTCACTTCATTCTGCAGCTGTTATTTAATTATATTTTATTTACTGATAAAATAAATAAATTTCGAGGATAACAATTTCATTGGTCAAATTCAAATTTGTTTTCTAGTTGTAAAAAGTGTATAAACACTTCAATATTGAATACCCACCGATGATGTCCTACTACGGCGATCAGGATAACGATGACAAGTCCTTTTCTTGTGATGCCTACGACTATCTTCACGTGAATGCCTCGGGTAGTAACGATCCCTGTGATGCGATGAACAGTACTCATCTCCCCCTCGGTGATGATACTTCTTTACCCTTTCTTCGGAGTATGACTGTTCCCGCCGGTACTCCTGACTGCAATACAAATAAATGACAAAGAATTTTTGTTGACAATGAATCAGCTTTCAATAAATAAAAGGTTTTTAAATAATCTATTTGTTTGCTGTTAGTAGTTGCTATACATAACATGAACTTTGATCCTCCTTGGCCTTCCTCCCCTCAACTTTATTTGAAAAATTTGAGGAAATAAGTACTGTATATTCCGATGCATAAGCCGCACCTCTAATTAGGACGTGAAATATCACATTTTTTTTGTGTCCCGTGTATAAGCCGCACCTATTTTTAAGCTCCAAACCATTCCTAAAATGTTAAGTTTTTAATTAGTTTGGAACAATAAAGAAATTTATCAGCTGATTATTAAACAATAAACAACTGGAAATTCATGTACACTGTACTTCTGGCTAACTGAAATGAAACTACGTATTACTCTAGGGAAATGCCATTTCTCACCCAGAATAGACGCTTCGTTAGATTTTCAACAATCATTTTAGTTAAGTTTATTAAAATCTAACACAATAAAATACATACCTATTAATATTTACCTATTATTCAATTAAACACTCAATTATTATGTTCAGACTAATAAACAGCCGATAGAGCCGAAAATCATTTGTAATTCTAGGCCGAAATCATTACTACTCACAGCTCACTGTATGAAGCATGCAACATCACGCACCACGTTTTGTGAACAAAACAGAACAAAAAAATACCATGTGATATTAAGTTTATGCATGGCCAGTTTCGGCAGATGATCCATTAAAAAAAAAGCTTTTATTCTAAAATCATAACACTGCATAGCGGTATCATTCTTTCCATAACTGCACTAGCCACTGGGAATCGGACCTTGTACAGCAAGTTTCAACCAGTGCAGTTCAAAGAAGCTGCTCACGTGACCTCGAGGACCGAAAAATCATTATGAACGAAGCAGATCTTAACAAAAAGAACGTGTTTCAGACATTGTTTATGAGTGGAAACCCTCAATTACGAACCCTGATTTAACAAATTCCTGATTTTACGTAAAATCAAGGTGATGACGTCATTAAAAAAAAATTCATTTTGTGAACGTTATTTGTAAATGTCTACTCTAAAAAGTGTTATTTACGTAAAGAGGACGATTACCCATGCAATTTCAGGGTGAAAAACTAGCGCTCACCAATTCGAGTAAAATAAAAATTTGTTTGACGTGTGTTATCACTTACCCACCCTTAAAATGTCCTTCACCCACCCTTAGTTTTCAGCAGCTACAACCCTACTTGCCACGCTTGAAACCAGTATAAATGATAAAAATGTATTACAATCATATCCTTCTGGGAGTATATTTAATTTACCTTCCGGCTTGACGTGGGTGGAAGGCATAGGCTTAGCCAGCGAGCCATCCGCTAACAATCATTTTGGAAGGTCACTTATACCGTGACGGCTTGGACGGCTTGGCATAATCAGCTCGGCCTAGCCTAATTGGGCCGTGTCTACCTTTAGCAAGTTTTTTATATTCTATCAAATTTATCTAAAATGTTACATTAAACTAAAGCTAAATCATATTTACGTTAGATAAAAACAACCTTTATTGATTGAGTGTACATTGTTTTAATATTCAGTGGGTATTCCCAAAAATGTAAGGCTTAACCATTGCCTACCCGTGAAAAGTTCACTTACAACACGCGTTGTGTTAAAACATTTATACCAAGCTGGAAAATGGAAGTTTCTTGGTCGTCCACAAGGCATGCACATGGCTCTGCAAATACAATACTTGAGATTTGGTTCCCCGACATAATATTAATAGGCATACTATTGTTGGTGTTCGTAACTCTATAGAGTATTAGTGTTACGTCACGATACCACATGAAACTACTCTGTTGCTATCGTTGCAAAATGAGTTCAACCGGAAGCCATTTTCTCCACTGACAAACTATTGATCCCAATTTCTAACGCAATTATTAAGATGTCGTATCTTGTTTTTTCTTTGTAAATTTTAATTGATTAAATGTGTGTTCTAATATAATGCAAAGTTTTGTGTTTTTAGTACATTTTGATGGTCAAATATTAGATTTTAAAATGCCTATTCCAGAAAGCCTATGAAGTCATTCGTAATGAACGGTAACCAACGTGTGGTTGGCAACAGAGGGCGCCATCTGGTATTGTGACGACACAACTGTGGTACTCTATACCTTAAAGGCAATTTGTTTTTAACGTCACAAGTTAAATTTTATTAGTCAACAAAATATAGTAGGTCTAAGGCCTATCTCTGGATTCGGAAGACCTAGAGTGTAATTTACACTAGAGTAAGAGGAGAGATGAAGATGCATCTGCATAGCCTAGATGTGAGTAACCATAGCTGTGCGCAATCTTTGTCTATACCTGAAATATCTTTGTGATAGCTAATTCAACACTATTCCTTTGAAGACAAAATTCCAACATTTAAACACCCTCTCAATTTTCTTTTTTTCCCCTTATGTTTTGGATGGGGTGTGGCCCGCCATCGTCTCAGGGCAATGCCCACTGGCTTTTATTTGGGACGGCCTATTTCTTTTTTCTGGCTAAACCCCTGGTGAAAGTGGAATATTAGTGTTGGTTCATACAGTTTATTAGTTTAATTTAATTTTACAATATCAATTAATCACCATATTTTTTAAAATAATAATCACTCTCAATAACATTATTGTGTCAAAAATGTTACTATGCATTTATGCAGTTACAAATATGGCCAAAATGAATCAAAAAATAATAAAAAATAAATAACTTACCTTCGAGATCTGTACCTATAACTAGAAAAATCTTCATATCCTCGATCTCTGCTGGAAGACCTCCTGCGCTTCTTATAACGATGGTGACTAGAGTGCCTACTTGGAGAGTGGCGTCTATCGCTTCTATGTGATCGTGGCATCTACAGGCAATAAATAATCAATTATTGTTAAAAATGTGGTTTACAACCTATAAGGAAATGTATGTGTTGTTTTCTCATCAAATATGTTTTAATAATCAACCCAATGACTAGCAAGTAGAATGTAAACAATAATAATTATTCATTTTGATTACATCCCTATTCTAGTCTAAGGTACTGATTATAATGCATAATAATTATTATAATATTAATGGTATTCAAATTCAACATATGTTTGAGATTCGAGCAACTAAAGACTAGGCTGTACTCTACATAATAATATTCTAAACAGAATAACACTGTACATACACCATTTTAACTTATAGTAATATATATTCCAAAAATATTCAGTGTGGAAATTATTCATTTTCATGCATTTTACAGATCAGTGCATAAATATCGACCAGGTAAGAATAATTTAAATGGTTAAGTTACACAGCAACAGCTACAGTAGTAGTTCAAATACCATTTCGGGTATAATAGTGCTAAAAAGGGGGGGAAAATGAATTTTTAAAGTATTTCCATGACATAGTTTACTGTACTTTGGAGACAGTGAGTGAAAAAGAAATGGATACAATTTACATTATCAAAAATTGCCAAAGATATTGAGTAAAAGTAAATCAATGTAATCAGCAAAATTATAATTTCTTTATATAGATATAAAGACTTCAATTCAAATCTTAAGACTTCTGATGATAGAAATTTTTTTTCTTTTTTTCTTCTAATAAAAACAAACTTTGGTTAAATTATTATTAAACTACAAAGAAAGATGATTATAAATTAATATGTTGACGAGAATTGGGGATGGTTAATGAGATTTCTAAATATATTTAAAAGCACGTTACAAACTTGACCAGCTGGGTGGGCTAGACTAGGACTAGATTTTGCAAAATTCACAACCTCTCCCAGGGCCTACACAATAAAAAAAATTAAAAAAAAGACTGGCCTACAGGTAGGTTAGTTACGAAACCTTAGTTACAGCCGATATAAAGATGGGCTTAGGCCCTAGCAAGGCTTGCACTACTACAGTAGCCTGTCTCTCTATTATTGAGAAAAGATTGGATTCCCAGAAAGAACGTCATTAATTTGCCTATTTTGGGTGGTGCTTAAAAAATCAATCAATCAATCACTAACATTATTTAATGTGGGACAAGACTACTACTACTACTATACAACCACATGTAGGCCTAGAAAGGCCTATATGCTTTATTATGCTTGACTTACCAGTGAGTACCATACCAAAAACTGAAGCTAAGATAAACACATACCGCGCACTGCTGCTGCCTCCTGTTTAGTGTTAAGCTAGCGTGGTCGCACCCTTTTTGGTCGTGCTAACGAGAAGGTAGATTGGGTAGAGGAGAGTGATTGGTTGGCTAGATTCAGCACACTGTAGCCATTAACGAAAATGGTATTACGGTGATTAAACCGTAGTTATGCTATTATAAACACAGTAATTACTGTACAGTGTAACTAAACTTACCGTTTTATCAATTACACTACACACTGTGGACAAAAACAAGTCCGTTTTCCCAAACTGAACAGGACTAAGATCTCTCATCAGTATCGACAACTTCTCGCCACACCGCCAACAATGTTGAAACGTTTGGACACACAAAAGCGTTTGATGACGAATCAACCTAACCCATACGTCTAAGTAAGAAGAAATTTGATTGGATAGCAATTGCATTCCTATCTTATCAAGTCCACAAGCAACCAATCGAATAAATTGTCTCTCTTTGGAAATGTATGTCACCCCTCTAGTATTGAAAATACTAACTCTATAATTGACTTTACTTACATCATTTAATTCATTTGTTTGATAATATGCATTATATTTATTATCAAAATAGTAATGTTATAAACATACATTGTTTTTAAAATCAGTATTAAAGATTAAACAAGCCTTCAATGTAAACAAGAAGGGGTAAATGACACTAGAAGGAATAGCTGCGATGGAACGCCTGTGGTATTCCTCTTTCAGATAGTAGTCATAGAATCTGATATGGGAGGCAGATATCGCAATGTACGAATCTATCGATGAACACAGAAAATAGTGTCTTCTGCATGCTTGACCAAGGTAATTCAACAAAAGGACGCACATCTCCGCTCTCGAACATAGCGCGTGCGTACAGTCCTTTGATCTTTACTGTGGCATCGCCTCCCCCCCTTCATTTTTTAAGGAAAAAAAAGGAAACATATATTCAAATTGAAGTGCGAGAGCTGTCTCTTATACACATCTAGATGTGATAACCTTTGATGTCCCGAGATGTGCGTCCTTTTGTTGAATTACCTTGGCTTGACATAGTTTGTTTGTTTCTTGTTTTTTTTTTGTTTTTTTTTTTTTTTTTTTTTTTTGTTTTTTTTTTTTTTTTTTTTTTTTTTTTTTTTTTTTTTTGCTGATTTTAACTCATAACCCATCCACGCTTTCTGTGTTTGGTAATTCACTTGAATATATGTACAACAACAGATTGTTGACTTTTTAGTTCTTTAGGAGACACGTCTAATCTTTTTCGTATCTTTAGCTTTTTTGACGCATCCCATCATTCCTACCGGATTCCTTTTACAACTTACAAGTACAGTAGAGTTAGACACTCAAATCGTCAAACGCGCCAAAACAAAGTTTATGTAAATTAAAATGTTTGAGATTCTTTGAAATAAAAATAAATTTTCGGGCTGTCTAACAGAAATGTAAGGCCTAGTTATGGGATTGTTTACATGATGAAGGGCTGAGAAAGATTAACGTTGAATTTCACTTACACTTTCTAAGGTTTTGCAAAGAAGAGGGTGGCTAGAATGAAGTAAATGTACCGGTTCAAAATATTTTCGTCTGCATCATACTGTAATTCTGTGTTTATCTTATAAGACACAACTTCAAGTTCAAGTTCAATTTATCTCACTTGCAAATAATATATATTAACAACAGGTGGCGCAACCAAAAAAAAGAAGGCCTGTAGCACGCAGTAAAAACACAATGATGGCCCTATGCCTGACTTGAATTACTGAGCAGTATTACCTGAACATTTTGTGAAATTTTTTGGCAATTGAAGGCGGAACTGAGGAAGAATAAACTAGAAAATAAAGCAGCCAACATTAAAATAAACAAATCATAAATGTTAAGCAGATATCGTCGCATATTAAGCTATATGATATCTATTGAAATAGAAATCGTCGCATAATTTATGGAAAGCATACAAGTGAATCGTCAACAACGACAAAGCGGGCTGACAACATTTTTTCAGACAAATCTTTATGAGTTGTTGATTACAACAACTGCTTGATTAAATAAGGACTTAAGCTATTCGGCTCGGTATATGCCGGCAGGCCGGCATACCAAAATTATGGAATCCATCCATCAATAATCTACTTCTTTCGTTATTTCTTTAAAAAAAAAAAACAGTTATGAATAAGCATTGATTTAATTTGTTACCTTTTTCTCGATCATGATGTTGACAAGAATAGTCACAGGCCTACTATGAAGGCCCTGTGGAAATTGTGAATAAATTGTTCTATTGTTACACTTATTAACTAAACTTTATTTCCATAAACATAAAACAATACAATAAAATAATTATGATTGACTATGGGAAAAGGCCACCACTAAGCTTAAACGCGTCGTGCCTCACAAATGAAAAATTGAATTACAATTGAGGGTAGTAGTCATACATTAGTATAATTAGGCTGTATACTTTGCAGTGGTAATAATGAATGTGTAATAATAAACATGAAAATAGACAGAATAAATGAATAGTAAATAGGCATCTAGACTACCAATGTGTGACGTGCCTGTATGGCCTACCACACTAAAAGCCAAATGCAGCGGCCGTATTATATATATTCATGAACAGTTTGATACTTAGGCCTACAGCGCAGCTTACCTGATTTTTTTTGTTTACCAAACTTATCATGAAATATTGTCACAGAACGTCTTCTTTGCCAGTGTGAATCACTCATTATGGCCGGGCAGTGTGCCATTATAGAATCATTAAAACCACAATTGAAATTCGGTGTCGATAGTTAGCATTTTTAAATTTGTCACTCACTCGTCATTTTTAGAAATCCCTTTTTCACCCACTGATTGTATTCTTCACTATGAATTATTTTTTATGTCTGAGGAGACAAAATCTCAGCAGAGTATAGTTTCTTCCCTCCTCCAGTCTATATTATATTATTTTGAAATTTTTAAGGATATTATTATTAATAAACAGGGGACGTGACGGTGCTCGTAACGATTGCAGTACACTAGCACACTATCCACAACGAAACCTCGGACTATTTTCTGCCCTTGCGCAATAAGGGTTTCATCAGTGGCCTAAGCTGGTCTCGCATCTCATCTCCGTTCTCAATAAGACGCATGATTCGAATCTTCCTTATTTATGTTATTCGTCGAAATGAATCAGGCAGCCATCAGTACAGCACGGCAGCACCACAGTATAGTCAGTGGCGCATCTAGGGGTTGCGCACGCCCACCCCCTACCCCCATTTCGAAGCAAAAAAAAATACTCGTCCGAAGTCAAAAGACCTGGCTCCATGGGGCAGAGGCAAGCACGGGCAGTGAAAAAGGAGCATGTAAAGAAGTTGCTGAGTGGCAAATGTAATTTCTAGGAGAGGAGAAACGAATTTGGCTGTAGAAGTTGTGAATTTTGACACGAAGACAAGATAGGCAGCAGAGATGGGCAAAAGGAAGAGAGGACGACCAAGAGCGATAGATAGATTGTTTCCGAGAAGACGGTAGAGTTGTTGATCTGAGCGGATTTTTCCGGAAATCCTTACGACAGCAGATAACAGAACAGCATGGAGAAACCTGTCGGCTTCCGTCCATTGCTCCCTAATGACTGGGCACAGCCGAGGGACTGTCTGAGGTGGTATTCTGTGTAATTGTATGTGCTTTGTTTATTATATTTTAGTATATTAGTATTTTTATTCAATGTATGAACTGAAAACAAATCTTTTTGATTGTGCCTTTCAATAGTGGATTTTTTGGAGTAGGCCTATAGAGAATTAAAGCACTTCTGAATAGGGAACTAGATTTTGGCGCTATACAGGTACTTGGCAAATTGGATTGGATTGGATTGATTACGGAGCCGGAAAAGCAAATTCCAGTGGCGGATTTAGAGGGTGTGGGGAGTTACTAAAAAAAGAAAAAAATAAATAATTGATCACCCAAAACGAGGTCAATTCGAGATGTGCTTCTTTCTCGAGATAAAGCCCATTGGGCTTCTATTCGAGATTTTACGGTATCAGTGGCTTTGTTTCCAAAATGATCTTTGGTTGTTACCTCCGACAGGGGGCGGGCTTCCATGCTTTGATATTGGTAAAATCAAAGATACTAGAAATACAAGATGGAGTTCTCCACACAAAAAAGTGTTCCACCGAAATGCATGGTGGGAATACGAAAAATGGG